CCACAGCCATAAATAACTCCATCTCCCCTCAGACTCCTCAGAGCTGTACCACCACTATGCTCCCTAGGAACAGCCTGGGTGTAGCTCATGTTTGTCTGATCCAAGGTTTCTATGTATTTCAGCTGGAAAGAAATCTGTATTAGCTGTAATTATCAGAGGGCGTAAACGGTGCAGATGCACAGCTGCGTTCATGTCTGTCAGAGGGCGATGACTGACTGTCCCACCAGGAAGTTTTTTTCCCTGGTAAGACAAAACTTGCTAAACTGTAGAGACAAACTGAGAGCCCCTAAGTGTTAGGCCAGTGGCTGAACGCAATGCCAAGGAGGCACAAGGCCTCACCTTGTGTTTCCCTTCCCGTGTAAGCCAGCTCAGGTTGCACAGCTTGTGAGGACATTTCATTGGATGCAATAGTGTTGCGCAGTCGAACCTTTCTGTTTAAAATTAGGCTTCCAAAGGGATTCATGCTGTGAAATCTTTCTGAAAATATTACCAGGTAAATCTTTGATGCTTGTAGGCATTTGAAAACCAGTTTAAAAGAGTGTGAGTTAGTGGTGGTGTTTTAGCAGAATGGCAGAGGGCTTTATGGGTGGGTGCAGGCATTCACGGCTGAGACAGCCAGAAGATGTGTCCCACTGACTCTGCACCCAACCGTCCATTGGGAAATGCAGCCCATTTCCCTGTCGGCAGATGTACGCAGAGCAAAGTTAAACCGGACGAAGGCGTCGCCCATTCTCGGGACACCCGGTTTTGTTGGATCCCCTCGATACATCAACGCCTGGGATGCAACTCCCTCAGGAGAAACCTGCCCGCCGCGCCGCCGCCAGACACCAGGTGGCGCCAGAGCACAGGCGGTGGGGAGGGGCGCGGCCGTTCCCAACGGCCGCGGCAGCGGGTCCGCCTCAGGCGGCCCAGGCATCGTGGGCTCCGCGATTTGGTGCTCCGGCCATAACGACTATAGAACTGGATCATGTTGTGATTTTATATAACACATTTACTACTATAACATACTAGACGTTACGTACTTATAATTCGTGTATGTATGCATGCATTATTGCACATCAGCACATACAAACACGTATAATATTATCAGTGTGTTTTATAGTAACTACAAATGTAAAGACACTTCTGATCAAAATAGTGTACCAAAAGGAAAGACTGGATTGAAACGCCCCAATTTAAGTGTCTGGAGAAGGCCCCTGCTGATGGGACAGCTCTGCCCATGCCTGGCTAGTGGCGGTGCAAGCAGGAGGTGTGCTCAAGTCTCTCCAGCGCAGAGTGGGCCCAGAAGCCCACTCACCCCTTAGTGTCACAGAATTACAGAGTGGTTTCAGTTGGAAGGAACCTTAAAGATCACCTGGTTCCAACCCCCTGCAATGGGAAGGGGCACCTTCCACTAGACCAGGTTGCTGAAAGCCCCGTCCAACCTGGCCTTGAACGCTGGCAGGGATGAGGCAGCCTCAGCTTCTTCAATCAACCTGTGCCAGTGTCTCACCACCCTCATAGTGAAGAATTTCTTCCTAATATCTAATCAGAATCTACCCTCTTTCAACTTAAAACCATTCCCCCTTGTCCTATCATTACATGCCTTTGCAAAAAGTCCCTCTCCAGATTTCTTGTAGCCTCCCTTTAGGTACTGAAAGGCTGCAATAAAGTCTCTCCAGATCCTTCTCTTCTGCAGGCTGAACAGTCCTAACTCTCGTGACCTGTCTCCACAGGAGATCAGGTGCTCTGAGCATCTTTGTGGCCCTCCTCTGGACTCGCTCAAGCAGGTCCACAACCCTCTTGTGTTGGGGGCCCCAGAGCTGGAAGCAGTACTGCAGGTGGAGTCACACCAGAGCAGAGGGGCAGAATCACCTCCCTTGACCTGCTAGCCAGTCTCCTTTTGATGCAGCCCGTCTTCCCATATTTCATCTCCTCCTCCTCCCTCTGCAGAAAAGAATCCCCAGAGTTTCATTCACAAGCTAATGCCCCTCCTTCTGCTCCTCGACCAGGGTTTCCATCATGGCTGGAGAACTTGTGCGTCCCAGCCAAATGAGCGTTTGCAGGCTGAGTTCTAACCTCCTACTGTGTGCAATTAACGCTGATTAAACAAATAATTAAAACTTACCCATGACATTCTTTGCAGAAGGCCCTAACTCAGTTTTGTGTTGGAGCTACTCGAGCAGTTTTAATTAGCTGTCCATCTATGTGTCCAAGATGTGCTGCATCTTGGCAGGGGTTTCTGAGGGAACTGTGGTTACTGGGCAGGAGAGGCAGTCACTGACAGAGGGAGAGGCCAGGCAATGACCGCAACTTCAGAGCCTCCTTTGCAGGCTCATAGGACTCCAGGCAAGGGAGCACTGCATTAGGAAATGGGTGGAAGTGTCATATCACAACAGTCAGCGCAATGACATCCAAGAGCCACTGAAATCTACAGCCAAGGTGATGGATTTCTGTTACACTGTTGCAGTCTCAGGCAGTGCATAGAGTGAAACACAAGTTCTAGATCAATCTCTGAGCCTCCCAGGGAGTGCTTATTGATTGCAAATGACAAAATAAAAAATAAAATAAAATTAGGATGACATTTTCAAAATTGGCACCTTTTTCTGGTAACCTTGTTGCAGGCACCCTGAGTCTGGTTTTGAGAGACACCCAACCCTTGAATTTCCCAGCACCTTCGAAACTGAGCCAAGAATATTTTGCCCAGAGGCAGAGGCACACACAAAATTAGGTTTTCCTTTTTAAGATGCTTGTTGGCCGTGTTTGAAAGCCATCTTATCCTCTATCAGTTTTACCTCTCTCCTCCTGCAGAATTTTCTGGAAATCTTAAACTGCCTCATAAAAATTATGCAGATGAATAAAGCCACCCCTCCACCCATTCCCACCATGTCCTTTCATCCTGGCAGCTGTACTGTTTGGCAATTGTTGCTGTGTGCAAGGGGGTGGGTGGGTATCGGGCAGGTACCTCCAAACTGGATGGGGAAGAGTGTGCTAAATAACACTTCATGCTTTTGCAATGAAGAGGGCTGGGTGAGACCTTCAGGGCAGTGGGTGAAGTCTTAGTGACATGATACTGTGATGGCAAGATGTGAATTTGTTCCTTGCACATGGAAGTTTCCCTTTATGATGAAGGTGAAAGGTGTGTGATTTGGTTCATATGCTTACAGACGTGACAGAAGAGAGAGCAGCATGCACATTTTCTCTGTATGTCATGTCTCTGTGTGTACGCTTGCATGCTGGGCCACGTAGTGGCACATCCTGGGCTCCTCACCAGTGCTTCCCACTAACCCCATCCAGTCAAAGTACTATCAAACACTGCTTGTTTAGGCTGCCTGCTGACATCATTTGCCAGTGCTGTCCATTAAAATTAATTTGCAACATCATTTGAACCTGCCTATGTCAGCTTGTAATACCTACAAGCTTGAGTTACTGCTCTGAGCTGCTGTTAGCCCTTTGGGAATGGTACACAAATGCTCCTGCTAACCCTTTGGGAATAGTACAGAAATGTTTTCCTTGCCAACTCTTGGCAGGCAAGCCCCAGGACTAACCCCAGAACTCAGTTAACGGTGTAAAAGTGGGGTTGTCCCCCCCTCCCCGGCCACAGGCACTATCACATCATATTACTTGGCTTCCAAAAGAGATCAGTGCTTTCCTGCTGTTTTTGTGGATCCCCATGGAAACCAGCAGGAACAGTCGTGCCAGGGAAGCTCAGCAACTGCTACTCTCAAGTACTTTGCATGGGGATCTCACCTGCAAAGAGGCGGAGCCTTCTCCAAGGCTGCTCACCTGCAGGTGATGCCTTCTGGGAGACACAGGCAGAGGGATCTCCATGGGGGCTTTTGACATTTCCACCCCCCCATTTGGGAGTGAAATAACTTCTCCCTTTACACAACACGTTGACAAGCCTGAAAGATCCCTGAGCAGAGATCACAGACAACTGGGATCTGTGTGCTTGGCTCTGGTGTGAGACCAGGAAAGGAGCCAAAATCCTCTCTAGCTAACAATGCCTCCCTCCTTCACTACCATGGAGGACAGGCTGCCTGCTGATTCTAGCAATGGAGGCTCTGCAAGTCAGAGTCCTATGGGTAGGGATCTGTGTTCTTCTCCACACCCCATCCCTACATCTATAGGCATGACTTCCACGCAAGACTGGGAAGGTAGCCAAAACCCTTCCCACAGACTAGCCCCATATCCTACTAGTGTCTTCTCTTCCCTGCTCACAGCCAGTACAGGCCACCCTACTTGTGGAGAGGCAGGGATCTTCCATCGGAGCATGGTGTTTTGTGCAGCCTCTCCTGCGCAGACCTAACCCAGGTGCCTGTGCTGAAGTTCTCAGATCAGCATCCAAACAGAAGGCAAGCTGAGAACTACATTACTCTTCACTGAATCTATTCATTTAACAATTCTGGAAATGGAATTTCTCCTCAGCTCTGCCATAGGAGTACAGCAGGGACAAGGACTACTACTTCTCCTGGCCTGCCCAAACCTCTCCCATCCCAAGACTCTCCAGCTTTAGCAGGGATCAGGCAGAAGTTCACTCCCTGTGATCCTTTGTGGTCTGAGGGTTTGATTTTTTTTCTGAGAAGCTGTTTGCAGTGATGGCTGTATGCATAACTATAATCTTCAACAGCAGTAGTAAGGGTCTGTGCTATACTGTGGAGCTCCTCTGGCAACCTGCAGCACACACTATTGCCTCCTCAATGCTCACTTCTACTGAACATGTCCCTCAGACAGCTGATGTTTTAAGAACTGGGCTGGAATGACCAGTCTGTCCAGACCAGTAATCTATAATCTGTTCCTTACTCTAAACATGGTTGGGTTCCTTTCCCTAGTGCAGCTTTTTGCACTGTGCTTCCAGAACCAGCTCTGTAAATGGGTGTTTCCCTGGCATTTCACAGGAAACCTGGGGAAGCAAAATGACTATATGCTGCTGCCTACTTTGCCTGAGCTATGCTCCTGGGAGGCCAGACCGGCTGCTGCTGTTCAAGGAGGGGTCGAGGGATATGGGCTCTTGCCTGCAGCAGCAGAAATGTGACCATCTCTCACATCACGTCTCTGCAGGAGCAGCAGGCCCAGTTCTCCAGGGCACTCCCTGATTCCTTCCAATACCTTCTCCCAGCTCCATCCCCCCTCTTTCTATGCCTCCTTTTACTCTGTGGGAGCAGCCAGACCCCTCATCCTTAGGGCAGCAACGTTTAGTTTTTCAAGTACTGTTGAGCCAGCTCTGCATAGTTGTAGCATCTGGGCTTGATAACAGTTTACCTGTGAGGTTCATTATGTATGGAGTCAATTGCACAGCACTTTATGCTGTAACCTGTGGACTCCAAAGATTCAAAGCATGTTGTGGTATGTGGGAACCATATGGGCTGCATACCAGCCAATGCCAGACACAGAAGATCACACAAAACAAATACACTTGCAAGGACTGTTTTCTTCCTCCTTAGCCTGAAGACTCCCATACGCTGTCCTCCTTTCTTCTCCCCTCTGGAACAGGAGTTTAACAGACACACACAAGCATACTGATAACAACCCCAAATTTACTTTTTAAGCTCCAGTTGTCTAATCTATGATGTAGATAAACCTAGGAGAATACAAGCATTAGAAAAAATTAATTATTGTGAGAGATGTTAAATCTGTGTACGTTACAGAAGAGAAAGTAAAGTTTTTTTGTCACAGACTAATGATAGTTGATGGCTTCTTAATCTAGCAGAGAAAGACCTAATGCAATTTGGTACATGGAGGCTGAAACTGGAGAAGCACAGAGACGAAACAAGCTGTGAGCTATTAATACTGAGTAGCACTGGAGTTACCCTTGGGATGATGCCCTAAGGAAAATGGAAATTCTCCACTGTTTTGCTCTGTGCCAGTCAAGGCTGTATATATAAAACATACGCTCTCACTTAAGTTCTTGGTACACACAAGTGTCTTTATGTCCTTTATGTGTGTGAAGTGTGACGAGATTGCCATAACACAACCAAAACCAGCTGACAAAGTACCCGAGGGCAATGGTTTCCTGGCCCTCCCACTGGGTCCTCCCATGAGCAACTGGTTTATGCAGTGAGGTGATCCACAGCTGCCAGTCCTACTTTCTGCTGCATGAACTTGTCATTGCTGATTAGAAGAGAAGCAAAGCAGGGTTTTGCAGGTCTGTGTCATATCTGTCAGCACACTGCAAGCCCAGGAGGAACAGAGTAAGGGAACTAGGCACAAATGCCATTTTCAACATCTTTAAGCCTCTAACACAGGTGGAATTCAGAGAACTACAACATGAAGCCTGAGTTCCCTGCGGAGACAAACAAGTACCTCAAACAGGTGTTTCAAGGTACTGTCTTGTTTTTATGCAAGTTTTTTCCCACATTAGATTGAACTCTGACACATGGACTTGGTTTGGCTGGTGTCCTTGCCCTTTTGGTAAGTTTTCATCAGCGCTGTGACTGGAATGTAATGCTCTCTCCCACCTGCAGAACTATGACAACTTTGCTTGCTAGACAAAGAGTTTCTTCTACTCTTATCTTCTGACAGCTTGTTCTCATTTATCTTTTTGTCCTTCTGTTTAGGTATTTTGGATATAGTCCTCTTAACAAAGCAGCCAATGCTTGTGTTGTGATAATGATAGTCTAACAATGCCAAGCTAGTTCTCTTGCATCTGCTAGAGAGTTTGTTTTGTCAATATTTGCTGTTTATAGTAAATTTTATTTTTTGCTGAATGATTTGTCTGCAAATTGTAAAAACTTGACGTAAACTGCTTGAGCAGACATATTAAAGATAACTACCAAGGTAAATCACTTGGCAACTGTGAGTTACTACTGGCTGTTCTTGTAACCTTCTCCCTTTATAGTCAAAACTGTTTTTCTATTTGCATTATTTAATGAAAGCCGTATTTATTATTTTTTATAATAATTTTGTTAAATGATTTAGCATACAGCATAAGGAGGCACAGCTCTGTGGAATAATTGCATGAAAGAAATGGTAGCACATGGTTGTGTTGAGGGCTGATGTGGTTCCGGGCCTCCAGGGGTTAAAGCAAGGTGTGTGCAGGCAATTCTTGGGGAGGTACTCAGTGGCTGAGGAATGTCCTGGCAGTCAAGCTTCATTGCCTGGGAAAAACACAAGGCTAGACTGACATTTTAGTTAGTGACACAATCCTATTGGCTTTGCTGGTGTGAATGAGAGAACTTGACCAGTGCCTTTAAAAGAAGAATAAAAATACCTCATAAAATTCAGATTAAGAAATAACTATAGTTGTATGCTGTGACTGAAAGGAGTCAGGAATAGGCTGGGGAGCATGAAGGGAATAGCTTCTTTTCCCACTTTGGTCAACCTCAGTTCAGGAGGGGATTCTGTAAGGCATGAAGCTGTCTAGGTCACTGGGAGTAAGGATTAATACAGGCTCACACACAATACATGATCTGTAGCCAACTGGAGTCCCTTCCACTATGAACCACTTGAGAAGTCTCTTTAGGTGACATCCCAGCAACCAGCTCCATTTCTGCCCTGGTGGGCTGGCCAAATGGGAGAGTGCCTTGCCAGATACCTGTTTCTTTTGGGTTCTTTGCTTGTCTCCACTTGGTTCTCTGGCCATCTCTGCCTAGTGCTATCCTGCTCTCTGCCTGAACCAGCTGTGTAATACATGCTTTGTCTTTTAGCTAGAAAGGAACAGGCAGTGTCATTTAGCCAAATTGCCATGAAACTGGTAATAGATGAGAAATCTAAAGCAAAACAATCTCCATGGAACTGCAAGGTCCACAGAGTCTTTGGAAATCTGAATACTTCTTTGAATAACAAGGTATAGATCTCAGCATTTGCCTTTAACCATTCCCATGTCCAAATCTTAGCCTTATGTTTTTAGTTATATTTCTGTATTTTAGCCACTTAATCACATCAGTCTTTTTATTTGTGCATAGTAAGTGATTTGCTACTCACTGTTTCTCTGATGAGACACCAGTGAAAGCACACTATCAATGTGAAGAAAGATTTTTCAACACAAGTTTATTAAACAGCAGATCTCAGACGAGGCAATATCTGTGAGCCAGATAACCACATTTAAGATCTTGTTTAACCATGCCTAGTGAAGAGTCTTGCTTACAGTACTAGGAGACAATTTTGTTCAGTTTTTCTGCCTGTTTCTTCCATAGGCTGTTGCAAGCCTGTTTAATTCATACTGCTCTGTTATATGTGGGCAGTCTCAACAGGAGCCAAAGCACAGTTTCAGAGCATTCATGGATCTCTCATTATAACAGCACTTTTTGGTGCATCCCTTCCCAACAAGCCACACTTGCTTTCTCAAGGAGATGAGACCACCTTCCATGGTGGCAAAGCAGGCCATATGAAGGGTACATGTAAATTGGCCAGGGAGATACATGTCAGCATGACTGCTGTTATCCTCAGTGAGGACAGCCTCATAGGGAAATTCTTAAAGTATCTTTGATGGAAGTAACATGCCTGATGATGGACAAAGTAAAAAGTAGTTGCTAAACCTGGGCCAGAATGAATGATCTTTTGGAAACGTGCTGGTCTGAGGCCCAAAGCCCTGGGGTCCTGCAGCCCCCCCTCTGTCTCCAGTCCCTTTGGTTCCCATGTGCCCACCCTGGTCTGTTGGATATTAAGAGACAGAATGCGGGTGCAGCCAGCCCAGAGGTGGCAGTGACTGGCCTGGGGCAGAGGGCAGCAGCAGGCAGCACCCTCAGTCCCAGTGGCCAGGCTCTCCAGGCAGTGACACTGCCAGCTCTGTTTGAGTAACACAGGTAATATATATTATTAAGTAAATTTATATTCATGTAAAAGATTGCCGCACATAAAGTAGTTCAATAAGTGGTATCAATAAAGTTGTGTGCTGGCAGCTATCTTTAGAAATGCTTGAAAACTCAGACCAGTTGGTTTGAGCTATCTTGTGTGAGATGGCCTAAGCATGTGCGAGTAGGATGGTGTCCTCTCGTCAAGAGAGCCATCATCACACTAATTTGGTTTTCATGTCCATCATGGCACCAACCCCATGCGCTGGGGGCTGCCTACAACCACTGAAGGGTGCTCCATTAGCTCCTCCAGGCTGTGATGGGTGGTGAGGGCAGTACTGCCCTGTGGATGCCAGCTCCCTGCCTGGCTGTTCCACGGGAAACACAGTTGTGCCTTGGGTCACACCGGTTCTGAAGGCTGGGAGATGACTGCAAGGGGGATCTCAGGAGACAAGGGCCCGACACTTGCCCGTCTGAGAGGCCCGAGGTAGCAGCCTAAAGCTGCCAGGTGCTCTACCCAGGACCTCCAACACCGTTCGGCTTTTGCCCTGACGCGCTGGGCAGAGCAAGACGGCTGCCCAGCGCAGAGGCAGCAGGAGCGCTCCCACTGGAGGGGGCAGCTAGCAGGCGCACCGGGAAGCACGGCCAAGGATGCCTCGTCAGCAGCGGCTCGTTCTCCGCACCCCAGCCTCAGCGGAAGCCCCTGAACGTACAGGGTAGGCGGGGAGAGAGGTGGGTCCGGCAGCGGCAGAGGGCCGCTTAGACTCCGTTCCCCCGGGCCCGTCCCTCATCCCCCGCTGGGTGCTGCCTGCCCCACCTGCCTCGCCGCCGAGCCCGAAAAGGGGTTAAAAGCCTGGGGCGGGTGATGTCAGTTCCTGCGCTCCTCGGGAGGGCTGGCTCTGATATTTGAGATGGGCTCCCCCGCTCTAAGTTAAACGGAGCGGGGATGGTAAAGTGCTGAATGGGACAGAAGCCTCGCCGGACACCTGCCTGCTACCCAGCACCGCGCAGCCGCCCGAGGTCAGGGCCGGCACTGCCGGTCTCCCTGCTGCCGCTCCGGCTGCGGAACCCGCGGATACTGCCGGCTGCGCCTGTCACTGCCCCGCTCCGCCGGGGCGAGACCCCCTCGCCGGCCAAGGTGAACGCGGGCGGAGAGGTGGCCCGATCCTCCTCTTAGCTGCCGGGAGTGGCGGCTGAGGGCCCGGGGGTGGGAAGAGGCGGGTGGGCGCTGGAAGGCCGGTCTGTGCGGGACTGGCTGTCATAGCCCTTCTTCTCCACTCTTTTCTTTCTTCCAAGTGACGGCAAGGGGCTGACTGGCGCGTTCTGGGGTGATGTTGTGTCATCTCTGATAATCGAGGTTTGCTGCTTCAAATAAATTGCTTGCCTGCGGGTGTGGGACTTTGGTCACTGAGACAGCATGGAGGAGGTGGGGGGAGGAGCGGCCACACGGGGGAGAGGGGGAATGCAGCCCAAGAGCAAGTCCTGCAGTCTCTTCTGCCTCCCTGGTGTGTGGGCAAGGCCTCTGGAGGCAGAATTGACAAAACGCGCCCTCTTCCTACCTCCTGGCACTTCTGCTAGTCAAGTCACCTGCGCTGATGTAGAGGAATTCTTAATTCCTTCCCCCCCCTCCCCCGTTTAGCACGTGATTTTTCCCCATGTCTTGCACATCCCAGGTAGCATTTATGAACTGCAAATGATCGAGTGGCTGAACAATTCCAGTGATCTCAGGGTTAAAAAGCTGGGTGTTAAAGTGGTTGTGAAGTGGAAAATGAGGTGACTGCGGGGGGTGAGTTCCTTAATAGTATGATATTTCCACACTGAGTTTTGACCATCACCCATACTGCTGACCTTCTTGGTGTTGATGCAGTGGCATGGGAGGAAATCTCTCTCCTTTCACATGCTACGTTTATTGCACTTGTAGTTATTCCTTTCGTAGTAAGATGGTAGCTGAAAGTTAGATTCAGCTCTGGTGTTCAGGCAGGGTCTGGTGCATTTTACTGGCAGGTGCACTTCTGTGCTGATTGAATCTCTGTAACAGCCTGGGTAAACTGATTCCTGAGCTGAGGAGAAACTGGCATTTGAAATACAGAAATACTGTTTCACTTGTCTGCATTGTTTACACTGAATGAACAAAGCTGCAAACATTTTGCTTGCATTTGTGCCAGCACCTGAAAGTCTTCATGTTGATTTATTGCTTTTTGTTTTCAGAAGGCTTGGTGGAAGTATGTGTAGTTTCTGAAGTGTTTTGAATTCTAGTCTGGATCCACCAACATCAGGAACATCAGCTGATTCAGATCTAAAATCTTGAAAAATCCAAACCCAGTGGTGACACTCTGGTGTAAAATTTATGTTCATCGGAATTACAACTGGATATAGGGACTCCAAGTAAATATATTAGTATTTATTTTGACTATAGCATTTGGTGTCGGAACAGTCTGTTGATTTCAACTTCCATATAGTCAAAAGTGGAAGTCTCATGTCTGCATTTAGCAGTTGGTTCAGTCATTTAGTCCCCCTCCTAAGTTCTAACGACTTTGTAGCTCCCATTATCTTCACTGGAAGTTGGTTGACACTTGAAAATCAAGCTGTTCTTTAGAAGAGAATCTGTGCATTTAAGAATGAAGTGTTGGAAATCTCAGCTTGTTTGAAGAAAGTGGCTGCCTCCTATTTTCCAAGTTCCTAAAGTAAGAATACATACACTATTCTGGAAGTGTCTGATTCTCAACTTCTTTATATGCCAAAGGGGGGAAAAAGAACCAGTTTTGTATAATCATATAAATATGGTGTATATAACCATATAAATATTTTATCTGATACAAAAGGACCAATTTGGTGTGGGGATCAAATAATTTAGTGGATTAAGATGGTTAAGAATTGCAAAAAAAAAGGCATATTGAAATGATAGGTCCAGTAGCAAGGATTTAAAATTAATCTGTCAAAATAAAGTTGATACTGTAATTCATAAAGTACAGTTGTTCAGAAGAATGGGTGAGAATAAATGATGCATTTAACAGTAAATAAAAATTTAGAATAAATTTTAAATTGTAAATAAAGTTGTCATGGGTAAACATGAGCCATTGTGATAAAATATCCTCTCTGAAAAAAGGGTGAAGTTTTGCTAGAGAGAGGAAAAGCTATAATTGTAATCTCTGGCCTTCAGAAATCAACTGATATAATGACACACAGGGAAGTTATTAGCTTAAGTGGAAGAGCTGGGAATTAATAGAAGAGTGATAAGGTAGACAAATTACAAAAAAGAATGTGACAACGCTGTGCTGAAGGGTGGGGGCGGAGTCTGTTATAAGGTAGGTATTTTCTATAGGTAGATATTTTGCAATCAGCCGTAGGGATAATCTCCCCAGGGAAGTGATGGACCCTTTTAAGATTTGGATGCATAGGTGCTGGGCCATCTAGTCTAGATCATGCTTTGCTAAGAAAAGTTGGACTGGATGATCCCTGAGGCCCTTCCAACCTGGTATTATGATTTTTCTGGAAAAGTTGGCTGACCTGCAGAATTAGTAATGATTAGTATTGACACAAAGTAAAATCACACCTTTGAAATAGTAATAAAGTGGGCACAAGATGGAAGAACACTAGTTAGGAACAGCAGTGGAGGAAAAGATGTGGATATGCTAATCGATTTCAGGGCAACCATGGGCCTGCTAAATTTTGCAGTGGTCTGTAGTACGGATATTCTTGATCTTGTGGAGATCTGGCACACACCTGTGCTTTATTAATCTGTTCCAGTATCATTGTAATGGGCCCCCTGCACTTCCATGCCTGACATTTGCAAAGGTAAAACCTGTGTTGGCTTGTCTGTGAATGTCAACCATAAATGTAATGTGGTTCTAAGAAAGGCAAATGCAGTCAGGTGAGGTATTCCCTAGAAGAGTGAGAAGTATTAAATGCCTTTACACAAGGTTTTGATGAAGCTGCATCCTGCCTTTCAGATGCAGTTGTGGTCACCCATGTCTATGGATGAGAGTAAAAAAGATAGGATCCAACTTTTCTAAGCTGGTACAGGTGCAAAGGGAGAGTAGTGACCTTTTCTCGTGAGACTAAAAGAGGCCCTTATCTCTAGCCTTGCAAAATGAGGATTTTAGAGAGAAGCTTTTGATATTTATAAATATATCAAGGGATAAATAGGAGGGAAGGGGGAAAAACTAGTTAAGTTTAAGGGCAGTAATCAACAAGAATGAACAGATACAAGCTGGTTGTTATTATATTTATGCTGGTAATTAGAAGGCAGCTTATTAGAGGGGTGAGGTTCTAGAACAACAGGAGTAGTGGGAGCAAAACTGCCTCCATGGTTTTGGGGAAGGGCTGCGTTCATTTATGAAAGGGATTATGAGACACAGTTATTTGCAGTGAGAAGGAAGAAGACTTAATGATTCAAGTTATCTACAGTCTTAGATTTCCTATTCAGAACAGGGTATTTTAGTTCAACCAGAAGTTATGGACTATCTGAGGAAATTACTTTTGCTCTGGCATAAGCTGTGTGGTAAATCAGATTCATTTTTCTTTGTGCAATTAGAGTTTATCCCAATTGTTCATATGTCCTCATTGGACTTAAACTATGTATAAAGACTAAAGTATCTTTATACCTGTGTGAAAGAGAACAGAATTTAATTTGAGAGTTGAATTATGTCTGGGACAGGGTTAGCTATAAGCAAGCTTAGGGTGTTGTAGGATCATGACTTAGTACACTCTTTTGGCTTGGAGAAGGACTGATCACACTATATTAGAGGGAAACCCTACAGTGTTATTGTGAAGTGTGCCTGTCAATACCTGGCAAGGAGCTAGGTCTAAAGTTTTGATCAATGTGCTGGACTAGGCTGTTGTAAAAGTTGGTCCATGTGTTTCTGTAAAGCAGTAAGTGTGCTGCTTGTGGAATACTGGTCTTCCTTGCTATCTTGGAGTGTATTCAGCATGGACATGAGTGTGCCTTTTCCTTGTTTTACTTAAACCTACTTTCTGACCTGGAATGGTATTTCACACATCAGCTGGAAAGGCAGGCAACTTGATGCCTGGTAGACTTTCTATTACTGAAGAGAGAAACCTGTATATAAGATAACTTGCAGGTAGTGTTTGTAGCTAAAGGACACAACACATCTTCCTTAATTCAGAACATCAGGGGTATATCTGCTTAGAGTGGCTTGCTGTGTTAGGTATACTTACACTGCTATGTGTGTTATACTAAGGGTAACTTGAATATCAGGTCTCTTAGGCAAAATATGAGCCAGTTATCCTGGCAACTAGAGGAACATCTTAAGCTTTTCTACCCTGCAAAAGGCAGATGTAAAAGCAATGAGGCGGAGTGACTTCAGTACTCTTTCCCAAGTCTTAGTCTGTTGCTTTGGTCCCAGTTCAGGAAAGCCCCAGATTTGCCTGTGAGTGGATGAGAAGTTCCTTTAGTAAGTATAGATATCAGTGTTTTGGTGAAGCTGATGAACTAATAACTTCTGGTTTTGTAAACATTTGTTGTGGTAGGGTAATACATCTGGCTGCTGGACTGCACACACTGGGTTGATATTATATACCTCCTTGTGAGTGTTCAGAAATTCTGGAATTTGATTAAGGACACCTACTACCTTCATGTCACATACTTTGTACTCATAGCAAGTTATCTGAAATGTCTAAACAATTACTAAGTAAGACAATAAAATAACTTCAAAAAAACACAGCTTTTTCCACTTTGTGGAGTTGTGTGTGTCTCTTGATGTCTACAAGGACTTCAGTAGACCTGCATGACTTGTTCAGCCCTAGCTTTTATTCCTGTCTGGGATCTCCTTATTTTTTAACAGAACAAGTGTTTAAATAGTGTGGTAAGCTACTGTTATTGTGGACTGACTGTATCAAGTAATTAGGGATTGGGAACACTGTTGCTTCATATATCACATCCACTTAACACAGTCTGTGTGAGATAAGACACTAGTGTCCCAAGTTAATAATTGGTTTTGTGACCTGAATTACATTTGAGAAGTTTTAGTGGCTTGAGAGCTTGTAGCCATATCAGTACAAAGGAGGCAGGAGTAAAAATAGTCCTAGTCTATAGGTAGATGCTGAGCAAGGCTGTAAGGGTGATAATAAGGCTGCTTGTGGAATATACAGCATGATGTAAATTCTCACTTTAAAGAGGAAAACTTATTTGAATGTTTATCTCCTATCCATTAAAAGAATGATCTCTGATAAAAGGCAGTATCAGTAACTTGGGATTGTACCATTTCATCTTTTGCTTGCAGAGGAAATGGCCTTTCTTACCAGTCCTGTAAGATGGAAAAAGGAATACAGGGCACAAGGAGTGAAAAGTTTGCCTGTCTAAAACCACTTCCCCTCACCCCCTTTTCTCCTCTAGGATTTTTAGAGCACCTCAGACGACATCCCAAATGTATGATTAACTTCACAATGGCAGAACTCGCAGTGGAGAATGGCAGCTGTGTGGACTGGCAAAAGCGATGCCTTGTATTGGAGTCCCAGCTCTTCAAATTCCGCTTGCAGGCAAGCAAGATCCGAGAGCTGCTAGCTGAGAAGGTGAGGCACTGATGGTTTCTTCTAGTTTGCACTGAGTTATGGCATGAAAGCAAAAAAATCTATAAATGCTGAGCTATCCAATAAAACTGTTACTTGCAGTGAGGCTCCCTTCCTTGATTACAGCGTGTCACTGAACTCTGCTTATCACTTGAGATACAGAAATGTGCCTGTCGGAGTGGTGTAAAGTGGCGTTAGTGAAAATAAGAATTTGCCCTTGTTTATGGGAATGTCATATATTTGGTCTCTGCTGCAAAAGCGTGTATCAGCAAGATTCTGGATATCTAAAATGACTGAGGCAGCTGCAAAGGTGAATATTTTGGATAAAACCAGCAGGATCAGGACTTGGCTGGCAATGGAGAAGCTTACAGGAGTGCAAATTATTCTGTAACGCTAAAAGGCTGAACAGGGGTATGTGTACTGTCATAGTGTTAGAATAACATCGCATATCCAGTCAAAACACTCTGGGGATGCTGAAAAGCAGGACTGAGATATTGAGATCTGGATGTTGGAAAATTTCATGGCATCTGTGGTTTTGTAGGCATCTCCTACTAATCTCTTTCAAGTGTGCTAATTGAACTCATCTGCAATTCTAGGAGAGAGGACTGCCAAGGATTTTAGAGGGGTTTGTTGGGTAGGTTCGGTTTGGTGGGTTTTTGTGGTGGGGTTTTTTTCATCATGATGTATATTTTTGGTGAGGTTTTTTCTTTACCTTAAATTCAGTTATTTTTTCAACTTATATTAAAGCTTTTTTATTAACCTCTAATTTGCATAGAATCCAACTTTGTAGGTTGCTGTGGGGTTCCTTCTTTCAAAATTTGGTTTACATTACCACAGTCAGTCCAAGGTTGCTCAGATACTCAGTTACTATTGGGAAGTGAAAACAGTTTCTTTCAGTCACAGTTTGCTAGTGAAGTTGAAATCTTTACAACTGTTTGCAGTTTACTCCAAATGCTTTTAATCTGTACCTGATGAAAGGTATGTTCTAAACTCACTTCTGCTCTATTTTGTATTATGGAACTTTTATGTGTATATTCTTGTTGGTTGATTTTGGATGTAAAAAAATCCAAACTGTATCTACTTCACAGTAGAGCAATATTCATCCTTGCTTTTCATCACTGTTATGTTTCCACTAATGCCTTTATACTGCATGAGACATTCATTGCACTATTCATGTTTTAAGAAATGATGCAATTCTAAGAACATTCTTCATCTTTTCAAGGTAGCTTCTGACATGAGCCTTAGTGATTACTTATCTTGGGAAGCACTGAAAGTGGTTGTAAAGTATATTTAGATAAACGTGCATTAAAAAATCCATGTGTAGATGTGGCACAGCTCTGGTGAAGATGACCAGTACTTATGTGCAATACTTTGCTTGTGCTTTATTAACTTCTGCATTGAGAAACTTCCTGACTGCCTCCACATAAAGCAAACCCACCTACCAAACTTTCTTTTTGGAAAGAAAAAAAAATCTTCTTATTCTTTTGAAAGATCTTTTGACTGTCTCTTTAGGAAGGTTTGTGAGTGATGGTAGAGAACGAAATTTTCATCTGCTCCAGGGGCCTTCTCAAGGAATGGACCTGACTGCTGTTAATCCAGCCTTTCATTCATTCAGTCAAAGTGATGTTCCCTTCGTTCAGATTAAGGAGCAGCTTGGTTCGGTGATCAGATTACTCTGTAACTACTTGTTCAGCACTGTCCTAGGCTTTCTCAAAGGGTAAAGAGCTAGCAGGTTTGAAGTTCCCTACTCTGAATGTCATGTGGGAATGGGAGAGCCTTGGGGACTCTGGGGCATCTCTGGCAGGCTCTCCTGAGGCACCAGAGCACACAGTGCTCATGCTGAACACTATAGTTGAAGTGTCCTGTGACTCAGGTTCCTGACTGCTGTGCAAGGACTTGTTCACAGACTCTCCTTCACTAGTCCTTGATCATCACAGGACTCCCCAGCAGTCGCAGCAAATGGGACTCTGGCCCGCACTGCATCCTTCTCCCTCTCAGATGGGCAGTGATGCTGAAGTGAAGGAGATGCATGTGATCTGCATAGTGATGTCAACTCCAGCGATTTTTATCATAGATTTTATAGCAACTGTGGGGTTTTTTTTCCATTTTTTCTTACAGTTCTACCTGTGAGAATGAAGATATTTGGACTTATTTGAAAGAGTACTGCATCTGCAAAAAGGTTATTTGAGTGGGCAGGGACAAAGATTGTGAAAAATGTGAAGTGAGCACAGTTTGAAGCTGTGTTGCCAACCTGCGGTGAGCGTTGCCCCTGAGATCCTCTGATATTGTTTGCAGCAACAGGAAAATAATAAAATAATAACAATAATAAATAAAATTGGTTTTGCTAGTGAAAGTGAAGAGCAGTGTCAGCAGCAGCGTGATACTTGCTCACCAGCATGGTTGTCTCAGGGGTCTGGAAGCTACTGGTTGAAAGATCTGGAAACCTGTTCCCCCACATTATTTTAAAGTAATCTTTATAACTAACTTTATGATTTAAAAGGCAGATTTTACTATTTTAACTCACAAAATACCCTAAACACTCATGCCTGGCATTGGTAGTACAATGTGTGCTAACAGTTTAAATACTTCAGATTTTTAAAATCCGCTTAGATTGAATAATCTAGATCACTGTTCAGAACATGAGGAATTTAAAACCCATTGGTTTAACTGCCAGTGCCCTAATTCACATGGTGTGAACTTCCATGTCAGTAGCCCAGTCGTAGCTATCAACCAGTGCTGCCCAAGCTGTGCAGAGCCTGACTGCAGGTCGGTGCAGCAAAGGGACCCCATCCGCTGGCCTCCAAGACAAAGCTCTGCCATCCTGCTGGGCCCCTGCAGGGTATGAGACACCTGGGTCTTGCCTTGTTGCAGACATCAGCCGGGATCTGGTCTCTTTGGAAACATGCAGTTGTTTCTATTCTGACTTTCTTGTACACACACACACAAAGAAAGGGATACTCGGTGAGTGACATAGCAGGCTGTTGCCCTGGCAGCAAGTTGACCTGGTTAGGAGTGAGCTCTGGAAGGAAACAAGAGGACGAAAATGAGGCTGAGACATGCAGGAACTTTTTTGACTCAGTTTTATTCAGCATATTCTGAGCCATCAGGAGAGGGAAAGCCTCTGTCAGTGATTGATAGGAGGGTCTTTTGCAGCTTTTAGAAGGACCATCTGGGTAACTTTCAACCTGCTTCTGTCTTACTTCAATAATAAACAATGAATATTTGGAAAGAGCCTCCTTTGGCTCATGCAAGCACGGCTATACAACTGGATCTGTTTCTCTCCATACAAGCTCTCTGGGCTAATGTTTGGGAGAAGAGTTACTAGAAGTTGGCTTGGTCACTAAGTTTTATGTGACCTGGGTCAAGTTGCTTAGTAACGTTTGTCAAATTATAAAGCATTTCGAATGAAAGGACCCATGTAAATACCAAGCATCATTATTAATTCATTGAGGGATTTGAAAGAGCCTTACAACCATGGATGTATTAAATCTGAATGCGCTCCAGTGAGATAGCTGACACCAGGGATAGGTGAAGTAATCATTTTGTGCACATGAGAAACACAGCAGTTATTTAACAGTTCATAGCAGGACAACCCAACAATGTAGTACAGGAAGTTAAGAAAAGTGCAAGTTCATTTAAGGCTACAGAGGGAATCAGGGTGACAAAAGTAATTGATTTGACTGGAACTTAGCCAGGTCACCCTGCTTGCACAAGAAATTTCATAACTCTCAAGTGATCAGGAATGGCCCCAACATGCATTCTTTGTCCTGATCAGGGTCCAGGACTGCTAGCAATGCAAAGCAGACTGTCGTGAGGCTGGGACAACAAGGTGTTTTTCAGTCAGAACAGTGTTGCCTTCTTAAAATAACCTGAGTCTTTCAATGAAAATCACCCACCTTGTGGAGGATTAGATTATTAGTCTAAGAGGATAGTCTTTGGGCTCCACTTAGCATCTGTCTTTCACCAATGTATTTGGCTGCTACCTGTCTATAGTGATGATTGTCCAGAGACTACTAGATAAATGCATGGGTAGATCTCTGTTCCTAATGGACACAGACTCGTGTCATAACCCAGACCACTGCTATTGGTGTTACATTGCCTTGAGTTCAGTCTCTACCAAGACTCAGAAACTCTCAGGCCTTAGGTCAGAGCAGCTTTGGCTGGCTGTGCAATATCCTGTGGAATCTCTCTGTTCCTCTGCCAAAGAAATGTTCTTGATATTAAGCTCCATAGACTGTGATGTCCTTGATTGCTTCACTGAAAAGGCAAACCTGAAGAGGTATCATGCTAAATGTGGCACTTTCTGATCTTCATGGTTTGAATTTGTTATGGCATGGCCTTTTAAGTTATATGACCGTTGAGCTGTCTACATATATATACCTTCTTGATATGTTTGTTGGTAGGTATCAGTCTGCTCTTATGATCAATGTGTATGTATGAAAAGGAGAGTTGTCTTGTTACCATCTCATAGCAGCCTTCCAGTATCTGAAGGGGGCCTACAAGGATGCTGGAGATGAGCTTTTCATTAGGGACTGTAGTGATAGGATAAGGGGTAATGGGTTCAAAATTTAACAGGGGGAGTTTAGATTGGCTATAAGGAAGAAGTTCTTTACTGTGAGGGTGGTGAGGCACTGAACAGGGTGCCAAAGGAAGTTGTGAATGCTCCACCCCTGACAGTGCTCAAGGCCAGGTTGGACAGAGCCTTGGGCGACATGGTTTATTGTGTGGTGTCCCTGCCCATGGCAGAGGGCTTGGAACTAGATGATTTTAAGGTCCTTTCTAACACTAACTATTCTACGATTCTGTGATTTGTTTTCTGCTTGCAGCATGATTTTTTTAATTTTCTGAAGCTGATTCTATGTCATTCCTTCATTAGAAAAAAAACACAAGTAAATTCTGGAAACTCTGTGGAGCATTCCTTAGATGTTGCACCTTAGTGGATGAAAGTTACTGTCACTGGTTTCGTAGTACTGGACTTAAATCCGAGTCCCATTGAAGAAGGTCAAGTAGTGGAAGATGAACCAAGGACACATTGCAAGTACTGAATGAGATCCTTAGTTGCTGTTTAAAAAATAAAACAGACTGGGCTCTAGTAGTAAGTTGTTAGAGGAACCCCAGGTACACCTGCATTTCAGTGGGAATGAGGCGATTCATATACATTTAGATAAAATACTGTTCAATATCCTTTGACTTCAATAGCATCAGTGCTCCAATAGAGAATCACAGAATTGTCAGTTTGCAAAGCTCTTTAAAATTAAAAGAAGCATAGAAAACCTAAGATCATTATTTATCTTGTCAGTTATGAATCTGTGGTGTTTTGAAGCCAAAGGGAAGTATTCATTGATTATAATGTGATATCAAAAGGAACGTGCAGTGAGCTTTCTAAGATGTAGTCATTTTTATTTACCATTGTGAATGAATCCTAGCTGAAATAAACCCAAGAAAGGACAGTGTACTGTAGACAGGCTTCTACAAGGGACCCTTGGTGTGTAAATTGTAGAGATGAGGTTAAGACTGTTCCTCTGACCCATGTAATGAATGATGAGTCTCACTAACAAGAAAACAGTTCTGGTAAATTCAAAGTAGGGCAGAAGGCTAGAAAAGGGCAAAGGAATTTATTGGTTTTTTTTTATTCCCCCTGGTCAAAGCTGTCCATTTAACCCTAAAGATGCCAAAGATCTGTAGACCTGCGCAAGAAATGGAAGACTCCTGAGTAAAACTGGTGAATTTCCAGGTGATGTTAATTTCTTTTCTTTCTTCCCACCTTTCCCCTCCTCTTCTGGCTCTGAAGATGCAGGAATTGGAACAGAGAGTGGTAGACGCAGAACAAAGAGCTGAGGATGCAGAGAAACAGGTAAGAGATTCTCTTATGGTTTCTTTGGTACAAGCCCAGCAGTAGCTTACTCTAAATTCTCTCCAGTCTAGCATGCAGACAGCACTCTGCAGTGCTGTGCCCTGCTAGGAAAACATTGATTTACAGTGGTAAATTGATTTTTCTGGTCTCCTTCACAGTTTTTAAGCTTGAGCTATTAACAGGTGCCTAAATATGTTCAACCCTAAGTGAAAACCAGCAGCTTGTATTTGCCTCTCAACAGCATTTAGCCCTGTCATCCGTGATATACGTGCTCAGTTATGGTAAAGCAAGTGGATATTGGACCTCAGGATTAAAGCACAGGGGTAGAGCTGCCTGGCAGGTCCTTAGGAAAAAAACCCAAAACTTAAAGAGTACTGGTAAGGACTTGTCTACAAGTAGAGAAGGTTCTGTGAAAGGGAGTATCTGCAAAGTCTATCAGTTGTTTTGTACTTTTCATAACTACTGCTCTGGCTTCAGGACCCTATGGAGAAAGGCAGTAAGAGCTGGATACAATGCATATTACTGTAACCATCTAAAAAATAGGTATATTGTCTAAGCTAGTCCTTCTATGCTTCTTGAATAATGGGCAAGGGAGGAGAGATAGAGACTTCAGCTTGTGAACAAGCTATAAAGAATAATAGACCTTTGGGAAGGTTACAACGTGCACTGTGAGGAGTATTATAAAAACAAAAGAGCCAGGAGGGACAGATGTTCTAAGCTGAAGGGAAGGTTTGAGATGAGCCAGCTCTCTTCAACTGGGCAAGAGCTGCAGGGCTGAGCACTGAGCCACAGATTTCAGTGCAGAAGTAAAAGCTATGCAAGATGGCAAAGAATGGCTGTCAAAGATTACTTCAGTAGTGAAGGACTAAATAGGCAGTGTTATAAGCACAGGGAATCATACTGCCTAGGAACCAAGAACTTGAAGTACCTGGTAAGGTATTCTGTCTGCAGAATGCACTATTCCATGCCAGTTTCATACTGACATCAAGATTTTTTTCTGACCAGCTTAAATATAGGAAAGATGCTAGGCACTGTGCTGTTGGTCTCTATGCTAGATCAGCAACTGCCAGTCAAGAACGAAAGTTGTTATTGAGAGTGATATCAGTAAGTCCACACCCAGCCAGGACAGGCAAAGGTAACATTGTCATTGTGACACCATCATCAGGAAATGAAGATATTGCCACAGACCAATGAAGAAGGTTTCATACTAGCAGATGTCTCAATGACAGGAGTAGGCTATCCATGATATAATAAGATGCAATTACAAGATGGAGTAGATGTAGAGCAAGGCCAATTCAGGCCTAAGAATGGGCAAGAAAAGAACTTTGCTGGGAAGGTGTAGGAAAAATGAGGGTTGCTTTCACTCATCTGCCACCAGCAGAAGTGAGGTTTGCCTTCACTAATCTGCCACCAGCAGTTCTGCAGCCATGTGTTGGCAAGTTCTAAAGACTAGCAGCCCTCAAAGTTTGCCTTTCCAGCAGCCTTATCCACATCTGAAGAAAGTGCTCCTAGAGAAGTACTTCATTGCTGTCTGACAGCCTGAAGAAGTGACAGCGTAGGAATAGGACTGTTCCCTTTCACTAAAAGTATATTCACTGTGAATGAGAAGCAGCTGACAAATGAGAAGGCTCCACATCAAGTACAAAATCCCTTGTTATCTTTCTCTCCAGGAGCCTGGGGAGTTGGATTTGTTAATTCAATGGGCTCCCTGTAACTGCCAAGCTCAATTAAGGAAATCACATGTTTGCAGTCCCCTCTCTGAGCCTCTAGTGCAGAGTCAGCATTTGGGCATCAGACAGAAAGGAGGGGCCATTTCTTTTTACTATAATCACCCTAAACTCCAATGAAAACACATCCGACTCAGCAGGCTTAGTTTTCTGGCTCGGATGTTGGGCGCCTACCTTTCTGGTTCAGTATGAGGAAGAGGCAGTTTGCTTCTCTGCCTAATGCAGGCAGACAGCAGGACAAAACACAGCTTCTGCAAGTATGAAGTGTAGGCTGCTCAACAAAGCATGAGTAACTCTCTTGCACAGACTGTGAAGGGTTCGGATCATTGCCTGCACTCTGACTTCCTGGTTCTAAACTCATGCCAAATTAATGGTATCTGGAGTTGGTTTCTTTACCGGTTGAGTCCCTCTGGGATCTGTTGGAACCAGATATTTTGCCATCACCAAATGCTGCAATTAGCAGTTTTGAGTTAAGTTGATGGAATTCCATTAATCCTTAGAAAAGAAGTCTTATAATCTGTTGCAATAGGATGAGGTAACAATAAAACAGACTGACATATCAAGAGGCATGGGTTTTGAAGAAAGCAGAGGTTTTACAACATCTGCTAAAAAACCCAAAAGCATTAGCAGCAGCTGGATTTTAGTGCACTGAAACTTTGTCTACAGTGAGGGAGCATTACACTGGTGATTCTCCAGCTGAGATGAACAAACATTGGCAGTAGTAAGAGCTCAAAGACAGGCAAAGCTTCCGAAAAATCTGGCATGGTAACTCCTTAGCAGATCTTGAGAAAATGCCTCTCAGAAAGCTAGGAGTTGCCAAACTATTTTCTAAGCTGGGAAAAGGAGGAGGAAGGCACTCTGTAGCATGCTTCCTTATAAAAATCTTGATCTGAGGCAAATTGCCGGGGTTTTGTGGTGTATACCTTGGTAATGAATGTGGCAAAAAGCTGATCGCTGTATTACGAGGAGGAAAATGTGATGTTCCTTGCACATATGTCTGTGTAGACTATAGTGCCTGTATTTAACTAATAGCATGTAAATATTTCACAATCCACAACGTGGTTAGCTGTTCATGGTTCAGTTTGCATCTGTTACTGCTTCAGCATTACTAATGAATGGACAGTGTTCTTTTCACAAATACAGCTACAAACTGTAACCTAAAGGGTTTCTTTTTTCTTCCTTTCCCAACCCCAAGAATATGAAACACACAAATGCTCTTAGTTAGCGTCTTACCACTAAACAAGTAGCTCCTTCATTTGCATTGTTCTGTTTTTTTTTTTATCTCCCTCTGATTGTCATCACAGGTCAGAGTTATGGAACAGAATATAAAACTAGCTAACTTGAAGACTGGAGAATCAGACAGCTCTTTGCACAGGAAGTACCAGGAGCTGATGGGCACATTGCAAGGAAAGGAAGATCAGATCAACAGATTGGAGACACAGCTAGCGAAACAGGTAAAGCTGTTTTCTACAGGGAGACCTGTAGCTTTCATGAGTTGGAGGGACTCTGTAATGTATGTCTCAAAGGTATGGATTATTGTCTTCATTACATATTAGTCTCCCAGTTGCCTTCAGAACAGCTGTAAAATTATACCCCGTTCAGTGCAAGATTCTCTCATTCCTTGCTCTTTCTAGACAAAAACATGCATTCAGCCTCAGTAGCCCTTTTCTCTTCATTATGTTAGGTTGGTCAGTGTCCTTAAAGGACCTCCTTATGTTGGTGTTGAGTCAGTGTTGAGACCCTGACTGGAGTAATGCTAGAGTCTGGTCACAGTATTTCTCTGGCTTCCTAGCATATAGATTGTTCTGAAAAAACATTACGTAGCCCATCTCTGACTCCATATATGCTACTTCCTGGGAGGAGACTTTTCCCAGTCTTAAGCAATCCTTTAGTGCAGTTCATCTCTTGTCAGATGTCCTCACTATAAAAGAGCAGCTGGGTTTCCAGTATGGATAGTTCTTAGTCCCTTCCATTCTCAGTTAGTGGAAAGAAGGAGCTACAGCTACAGCAGGGCTTATGTTTTGGCTCTAGTAAAGGCCTTGCCCTGTGGTCTTTATAATATGAGGAATGTGGCATCCTTACATGTTGTTAAGTGAATTACTTTTAAATGGAAATAGCTTGTTAAGATTATACACAATATTGCCATTTGAGTACATTTTACATTTAACTAATTGTCGCCTATTTCAAGGGTACAATAGATTAGTAAGCTGTCTGAACTTACTCAGACCAAGTGTAGTGTGGAGGTCTTGCATTAAGTCTGTAGTACTCTGGGTTTCATGTCAGTTCCCCAGAGCACCTTGTGCAGGCAGAATGCAGATGAAGTTTCTGCATTTTGGAGGAGAAAGAAGGGGTTCAGAAGGAGCACAATGGAAGCAGCTCTTGCAATCAAATTTGGAAGAAATTCTGATTTACCCAAAAATGCGAGGTGTGATTTGATTAAAATCAACAAACACAAGTGTGGAAAATGTTCTGGTAGTAGAAATCTTATTTTAGCAACAAGAGGCAAAATGGGAAATGAAAACTGAAGTTTGAAAATTTCAGATAAGATACAGTCTATTGGGGTCATTGGTTTAGTTTCAGAATGGGATAGGATGGTGGCAGTGCTGGAAGGTCACTAAGGGTCCTTGTAGGCATCCTATTTGTTTTCAGTAGGATGGGGAGAACTGTGGAGTTCAGAGTGTTAAGAAGAGAACACTGAGGTCATGTCTGGACAATGCAATAGCATGGGATGCAAATCTCTGACTGCTTCTGGACCTTAAAGCATAATAACTGCATCTACAGGTGCTGTGCCCAAATGAATTCGTTCTACTTAGAGGTAGGGCTTGCTAAGCTCTGTGACAATGTTGTTGTCATGTCACTATTCTACTTTAGGACCCTAAATAAAATGTTGGCATTGTACTTCATTGTGTAGCATAGCAATATTATGAATCTTTTTACCTTTTGGTCTTTGATCTGAGACAAGTCCAGGTCATTAGGGATTCAAAGGCATTACCCATGTGGTGGATATTGAGAGGGCTATGATACATACATTATATGTGCCAGTTTATGTCAGACCATAGTGAGAACATCTAATATTCTAATAGTAGGCACAGCTAATATTCTGACTCCACCAAAGGCTGGTACCTGATGATTAGGAACATACAGAGACATATTCAAGGAGGAAAGCTAAGTAAGTCCTCCTTTTAAAGCATCAGATTTGATTACTTTTATTTTATTATGCTCAACTAAAAATGTTACTGCTATCCATAATGTTGTCAAGGTCTATTTTAAAGTCAGTAAACATATTTGAATAGGTGTTTTTAAATATACATTTGTGGTGAGTAGCATGTAGTTATTAAGAGTTGTGAAGATGTGGAGAATTTCCTGCTATTGTGTATTTATATGGTATTCATTAAGTCAACTTACACTCCTCAGTTTGGAAAGCTTAAATGTGGGAGGTGGGGGGAAGTGGAGTGAAGCACTGACATTTTTATTGTCATAATTACTGGTACTTGTTCACATCATGTTTTTAGCAGGGAAGCTATCAACTGCTATCAGAAGGTATTACTGTTGTCCATTTAATCAGAGAAACTAGGGCTGAATGTGCCATACAGAGTATATCTGCCTTCCTTCCCTCCCTCCCGGGACTGATTTATCCTTGTAGCTGTTTAAACCACTTTGTAGACAGACCTTTAAGTGACATTGCTTATGATGAATCCACACAGCAGATGAACAGAAGGCTTCAGGTGGTTGTGGTCTCAATCCAGCATCTTTCAAAAGAAATTCCCAGAAGAGGAGAACAATGCAGCTGCAAAAACACAGCTGCAAAAATTATGTCGTAGCAATATTGGCCAAGCAGATACTCAGGGAGGGGGGGGGAGGGGGAATGCTCATAGTGCAAATCAAGAAATCAAGAGTATTCCCATAACACTTTTGTGTGAACTAGAACCTGTTTTAATCAATACGTAAACACACAACCACTTACACCATCTCAAAACCTCCTAGCAGGTCTTAGTGTTTCAAAGTCAATTTTTGTACCTTTTTTTAATTCTAAGTCTGCTATATTTATTTTTGGTGTTTTTTGGTTTGTTTTTTTTTTTTTATTTCTCAATGAGAACACTGTGTGTGCTAAATACGTTGTTGGTGTTGGTTTCCATCTCCCTCACCTTTAAATTCTACCCTTTACATACACCTGTGCTTGCAGTGATTGAATCCTTTTTGCTTGGGATTATCAGTGTTCTATAAATCACTCACAGACACTGCTTAATTCTTAATAACTTCAGCCAACCATATGTGTAAGTGTAGGCTGAGGGAACACTACAGACACTCAACAGCAACATTCCAAAAATATCTAAAACACCTAGGAAAAGTTGCGGACTATACTCAAAAGAAACTGTGGCAGGTGGGCAATCATTACCTGAGCTGTATTTTGCTATTCTCCAATAAACTCTTTAAACAACCCTCTGAAATTTACTCCAGGGACCATGTAAGACAACTTAGAGATTAATTTTTTTCAGAGGCCAGCTAAGTAATAATATCAAGTAGCAGTCTGGATTCTTACATCTGGAATAGAAGCTTCAATATTTAAGTCACTCCTGATGCAGTAACTTACTGAGAACAGTTGTACGCTCCTGATGTATCTAATCTTTTTTTGGCACAGAAACTATTGAGAACTGAGGAAGCCAAAATTGTTCAAGAGAAAGCTGCCAAGATCAAAGAATGGGTAACATTTAAGCTTGGAGAGGTGAGTCTTTAGCTTGCTGAGGTTTGCCTATGAGTAGGTAGGTTCAGTGGCTGCACTGCCTATGGGCTTCTGTGTAGGACAGTAGTTTGAGGACAGCCAATCTGCCACAGAAGCTTTCTGCTTGTTTCACCCTACACACTCTCTCTTGCAGATCTAGGGTAGTCGTCCCTGTTACTGAGGGCTATTTACTGCTATGGGCAAACTATAAATGACAGTGAAGTCACTAATGCCCAAAAGCAGTCTCTGAAGAAGATTTACTAGTCACAGGTAGCTTTCACCTGGCTTTTCTCTGGCTTTTTTTCTCTGGGTGTAGTTTCTGTTTCTTTCTGACAAAACAGCTGTGACACAGAAATATCCTTTGCTCTTCCTTAACTTGCCATCTCTGGCTAACGCTGTTTTCTTACTCCCAGCATTTTCTCACATCTAACCTCTTCCTCCTATCCATCTTGCGGACTTTTGTGTCTGTCTGGGCCTAATTCAGTAAGTTCTAGAAAAACAGAGATAGCAATAGGTCAGCGCACAGTTTTAAAGGCATAGTAATAGTTTACAACTAGAAGTAGGCCTATCTGCTTTTTTGTTCCAAGTTATAGCCGTAGATTTCCTAGTTTGTGCCAGAAAGGGAATTTGTTGAAGTTGAAAGAAGCAGTCTTTGTGGGCACTAATTGTATTATGATGTGACTTTGTAACCTCATTAGACTGCCTAGATAATTCGCCAAGCTGCTGTGCTGCTTCTCTTTCCCTATGTGAGATAACTTAAGCTGCAGCTACATTACTGACTGATGCAGCACAAAAGAGGAAACATGAGGGCTGACTTGGTGTGACCTGCTGTGAATCCAGGACTATACATTCACACTGTGTCTTTGCTGGCAACAGAGTTCATACCAGATCCTGATTTTAGGTGCAGACCATGCACAAGTGGACCACTGTCAACTGAAAGACTTTGCACTTCAGTGTTGCAAATGGGTTGCTGTAGACAGCACCATGGGTGCAGATTCAACTTTTATTTTGTCAGGAGAAAAGCCTCTTCGGGTGTACCACTGCTGCATTTAAGAATGTACGCTGAGATACTTCAAGCAAAGATGTAAGGCAAATTTGCAAAGAATCAGTTGTGCACTAATTGCAAATGTAAATGCACCCTTAATGTTTTGGTGTTTGTTTCTTTTTTCTTTGGTCCCCTGGACCCAGGGGATCTCCTTTTACCGCATACAGGTTGAGAGGAGGGAAAACGCTCCTCCAGGGGAATAGTTTTTTTGATTCTCTTTCATGACAGTTATTTCTGGAACGGGAGTGAATGATAAACAGTAGCAGGCAAAGAAATTTAAAAATGTATTTGAGAAGTGTTAGTAGTATATACAAAGACCGTTTGGGAAAGCACAGCAAAGAGTTTAAATGGGTTGTCTAGTGGAGCTGCTGAATGGGATTTCAAGATGGCAGTGTTCAAGGCCAGGTTGGACTGAGCCTTGGGTGACATGGTTTAGTGTGAGGTGTCCCTGCCCATGGCAGGCGGGTTGGAACTTGGTGATCTTAAGGTGCTTTCCAACCCCAATTATTCTATGATTCTGTGATTCTATGACTGGTAGACTCACCCATCCTTTATTCCTTTTCCTGTTAAGACACTTGAATGTAATAAAGATGAAGATCTGTACAGTGGAACACAGACACAGTTTTGCATTATTTTTCAATTTTTATTATTGCTGTTTCATAGCTTGAGCTAGAAAATTACCACCTGAGAAACTGTAATCAGAGACTGACGGAGCAAATTGAAGCCCTTCAGGATACATTGCAAGGTAAATGTGTTCACCTGGCGTTGTAGCCTAGTAACCACCATGAGAGTGGAAATTAGCATTCTCGGGTTGTATTCTTAACTTTGTCAGAAATTAGCACTTGTGATAGTGAGTAAGCAGTTGAAGTGCTCTGTTCCTTAGTGGGTCCATTTTTAAGATGGGAACATCATTGCTTACCTGCCCTAAACTCTTAACAGCGATTAACACAGGTCCCTGTTTTTCAGAGTGTGCTTTTGCCGGTAAAGTAGGTCACTGAGCTCGTGAATTAGAAGCACTCTTGAAATAGATGGCAAAACTCTCCATTCACTTCAGCGGTAGAAGTCCCTGAGGTACTGCACTTTACCTCTGCATGCAGATTATCATCATCCCCATAGAACCTTTGCTGGCATGTGTGCTGAGTAACTGAGAAATGAATGGTCCAAAGCAGCATCTGCCTGGTCTTGCCTTTAGAAGCTGGGTTCTTCCATGCTGTTAGGTTGGGCTGCGTACGGTGCTTATGCTTTTGTGGTTCTTGCTTGGTGAATAGATGGAGAACTTAGGTCTCCAGGTCTTAAAATCAGCACCTTTCATTGTAACACATTTTGAAGAAGAAATTCTCTTAACCATTTCCTTCCTGGTTTGTGGGGCTTTTCATATATTTGGTTTCTTTTTTGTTGTTTTGTTGGTTTTTTTTTTTTGGAGGGGGTGGGGGTGGGGTGATGTGGTGTTCTGTTTGATTGGTTTTTGGGAGAAGTTGTGTGTTTTTTAAATTAGCATGATTTGGTCACAGTAAGATGAGCTAGTTTCCAGAACTTCACTGGTCATGAAGGAAGGGGTATTTCTTTCCTGCAGAAGTCTTTCTGGCATTCCTGTCACTCAACAGCAAGGGAATAGGGCAAAATTCCTTCTAAATCCCACGTGTTTCCACAGCAAAATACTTTATGACTGGCTTTTTCCTCATGCCCTCTGGCTCTGGCTGTTTACAAAAAATGAATGGCTGGTAAGCTGCGTTAATAATCTGGTATTAAGTGTACCCTGGATCCCAACTCTCTGAGCAGTAAACAGATCTGCTCTCACCTCTTATCCCTTGCTAGTCTTACTGTGCCAGGCTGAATTCAGAAGCCCTTGCAGAGAGACAAATCTCTTTTTGCTTGCCATGCTAATAGTAACAACTTCCTCTGCTTAATCTCCTGTCACATATAGGAAGCTGCAAAAGTACCAATAATATTTAAATTGAATAGCCTTCTTTCTATCTACGGTAATGACTTACCTCAGGGCAGAGGGAAATGTGTGCCAGCATTGTGTATGCCAGCACTGTATGTTAGGAATAGCTTTGTTAACATTCAGCTCCTTGTGGCTCACATGCTACGGTCAGGCTCTCATGGTTAACTTTCTCAGCTGTGTTTCCAAGAGCAGGTTTTATCCTCTCTGCAATCAGCAGTGATTTATTCTGCTGTTTGTCCTTCACGGTTTTACTTTGTGTCTTCAGTTTGTTTCTACTTCCTTGTAAATCCCATTAGTGGTTAAGCAATGTCTGTAGAGTCTGACATTCAGGCAGCATTTTCAGCAATAGCTGTGCAGAGTCACACTTGCCCCTGTCTATGCAATTTCCAAAGCATCTTATGGCTTGGTTCTTTTCAGTTAGGCAATTTATAAATGCCAATCAAAATCATAAAGTGAAGTAACATCCTCTGCCAGTCCAAGTTTTATCTGCACTTTCTTATACCCTATAGGTGCTATTCAGCAGAACCTGTAGAACTGAGATAGTCTTTAAATTTAGTAATTACAGAAAGGAAGAAAGTAGAAGAATTATAAAGTATAAGTTCTGAATAGACCAAAAATAATGGAGGCAATCTAGGATCCATCTTTTTTTGTCATCTTCTAATATAGCAACTGAAGGCACAGATTAAAAATAAAGAAATTTTTACAGCAAAAACATGTAAGTAACTTATAAAACTTGTTGACAAAAAGCAGTGCTTGAGTCATAGCACAAAAAGATAGAAAGAAGCTCTAGGGAAATTCTTGAAAAGAGAGTAACCTCACTATTTGCTGTGATGGTTAAGAAGGTCTCCATATGTATGCTGGAAGCCTCATCTAGCTCCTTTGAATGGGAGGAACCATACCAGTATATTTGATGGCATAAATCACTGTAGGTCTATTGGAGTCAAAAGCCACACTAAGCAATTTTCTGGCAACTTAGCTGATTTTTGACAAAGTACAGTGTGGGTAGGTGTACTTTCTTCTCATGGCTATTTTAAGAAAATAATCTTCCTGGATAGGTAAGAGTAAAAACTGCTATATTGAATTAGACTGAAAGCTTGCATAGGTCAGCATCCTGTCTCCTGGTTGGCTGTGGATGTTTCATGAAAGAGTATAGAAATTTTTGCAAGTAGATCTGTCCTTCCCTCTATGTACCCTTCTAGCTTCCGCTGTCAATGTTTTAGAAAGCTCCTAGACCAGAACTTCTGTCTAAACTGTTATTTGTACCACTGATAAATTACTTTTGCCCAGCCATCTCCTTTCCATTCTTACAGTCCTAATCAGGCCTGGGTGCTATTCAGATATGACTGACATGATCAACTTACATGACGAAGTGTACTTTTAGACAGTAAAACATTTAAATGCCCTAACCATGTGTTCTCTATTGTAGATATGACCAGCATTCCTCCCTTTGAGTCTCTTTGGAGCTGTAATCCTCTGAAGCCCAGAGCATCACAGACCTCTCTTGCTGAAAAGATAGACCAGAAAACTGTGCTCCTTACACCTGGTTTCAGACAGATATGTCAGACAGGACACAGCAAACATGTCCTCTCTACAGCAAATATAGTCCTTACCGATGACACCTTTACTGGGGATGGGGAGGATAAATCTCTGCTTTCCCAGAGCACACTGAAGCTCATGTCAGACCAATTAAGCTGGAATCTCTCCACAGAGAAAGATGTATTCACAGCTGTATGTTCTGAACACAGGTTAGGGTGCTCTGATTCCACATCGCTGGGCCCTCCAGATGAGGCCACAAGAATCCTTGAGGCTTTGACTTACCAGTCATCTTTGGAAGGAAACTGTAGTGCTGTGAGCACCTTGCAACAAGTGGCTTTGGACAGCACACACTTCTCTGATGATCTGAGTGCCACTGCTGAGCCATCTCTGGTTGTGTCATCATCAACTATTACAGCACATTCCCTCTGTCCAGCAAGGGAATGCAACCTTGGCAGTAGTATGACCTTTCCAAAAGTACGAACTCCCAATACACCAAGAGATAGTATCCAACTAGCCAAGAGACATTACAGCCAGCCACAGCCAGGGACTAATTCTTTCCATCACGTAATGAGCTTAGAGGCCAGCACCTTCCAGCCCATCGTAAACTCTCCAGCCTGCCATGGACAAGTGAAGGAGACAGACATTGATGATGATGATGGGGTACTGGAGAAAATGGAGACAGAACGTGGCCCAGTGAGGGAAGAAGCTGGAGTGTGTGAGGAAATGAACCACTTATCTGCAGGGCAAAGAGTAGCTGTGAATTCTGAGGCTGGCATACTCAACCCAGGAGGCAAACCTCCCACACCACCACTGCACAGATTCCCATCATGGGTAAGAAATGCAAGAACAGTCTGAGAAGTGTTGCTTATCTTTGAGTCATGCCTAGTAGTTAGGCTACAACAGCTCTTGGTCTCAAGTAATTGTTTCATGTAAACATCAGTCATGTTTCTGAACCATCTAGTTTGGTAGTTTCAGATCACGGGGCATGCTGGTTCCACTGACAGTTGTGGGTTTTTTTTTTGTTTTGGATTTTTTTCCCTCTTTATAAGGGAGGGGGAGGAAAGGGTGGGAAATCTGTGAAAGAAAATAATATATTATACAGGAATAAAAATGAAAGTCAGGAGGTACTGCATTGTGGTTTATCCTTATGGGTCATCAAAAATTAATCTGTAGTTCTGTTGTCATGTGTTTAAGACAAATGAGTCATAAGTGCAAGTGAATGGACCAGACCAGAAAGTTTCAGTGTCAAAAGTAAGATGTGAATACTAGAACAGATTCGATTCTAGCATGCCTATTTCAGAGATTGGCTACTATTCCTTTCACTGATATAAATTTCCTGTGTAAGGTTCTTCTAGTCCTTTAAGATAAATTTTTCACAGGTGACTTCAGCTCCACACACACCTCCTAAATTTTTAACTTGAGTTTGGCAAGTAAATTTAATTAGAGAAGTGCTGAGCTTTTCTGCTGCAACTATATTCAGTTTTAATTACAAAGAATGTTATACAATGCTAAATTATCAAGAAGTCGGGTCTTGGACATCTTGAAATGGGTACTCCAAAGGTATTGGGTACTTCAGAGAACATATGTGAGAGCACCCATCAGTGTCCCTCCTGGGGGGGGGGGGGTGTGTGTAAAATGTTTTATTAATATTTATAAGCATTGCAGTATTGTAGTCAGGAACACCAAGTGAAAAATCTGTTGTCTTCAGACTGCAGTCAAATTTATGTATCCAAGTATATCAATTGCTAGAGCATGAATAGCATATTAAATAGCAGCTTAATTAGTAATAAATGCATATGATGTGCCCTGAATAAGAAGTGTCTGGGGAAAAAAAAAAAGCATGTAATATTTCATTAGAGACTAAATCACCATGTATATACCTACAGAAAATACTAATTCTGTATTGTACTTTTTTTTGGTGTACTTGACTTTGCAGTCTTAGCTACTTTCATGTATATGTATTATGTATGTTAACTGATGGTGACTGGTTGTATGCTTTAAAGAGCAGCAAGAGGATTCCTAGCTTTGATTTTTATCCATTTTAGACTGGTTGATGTCTTAGTCATAACATTGCATTTAGTTGCAAGTTGGGTTCCCTCCTTGGAATTTTTATCAATTTGTGAAGCACTCAGAGATCCTTTAAACTGAAAGCTCCATATGTTGTTATAACTGAAACATAGGCTTATTGAGATTACTCCAGGCGTTTCTTTCATTCCATTGTCAGAGAATAGGAATCCTGTTCAGGTGGTGACTCAATAAATTGTCCTGGTTTTGGGGGTTTCTTGGTTCATTTTAATGTGTTGTTTAATAAAGTGAAAAGAAACAGCTTTTCTAAGCTGTAATATAATAATTTATTGATAATTACATGTAGGCGGATATAATCTCTGTATCATTTATAAGACAAACCTTTTGTGATTCAGGGAATCAAGCACAGATGCGTATTTTTACTAATGTCATTCACACATCATCTGGTGGAATAGAGCAATCTTTCTTAGAGGGCCCCTCCTTCCTGACCAAAGGTGTGATTGTGATGTGATTCTGTGACATGAGCATTTCTTTTTGCAGGAATCATGGTTTTTGTCTGACCATTGCTTTTCATGGTGTTATTGTTCCAGGAGAGTCGAATCTATGCTGTGGCCAAGTCCGGCATGAGGTTGTCTGAAGTGGCCACGGTGAATGATACTTCCACCTGCTGTAAGTTATAGACAAGATCCATCCTTAGAGGGAGTTTATAGTGATAGTATGGGACCTGAGCCTCTGGCTGTTCAGATTTCTTCATTTCCTTGCCTGTTTTCAAACTAAATTTGATTTTGTAGATAGCCACAATAAAGAAAGGAAGGGATGAGGATACATCTGATCTGTTTGAGCCCCTACATTCAGTGACATCTTCAGGGTTATCTCCTTCATCATTTTTGCTGACACTGTTCTGCCTCTGCATGTCTGTGGCCTGCTTTTAGTCTTGCAATTCATCCTCACCTTCCCCATTACAGCTTTTACCTGTTTTCACATTGTGCACTCGGTTGCCATTGTACCGTGGGGAGCACACGGTAGGCAAGATGTCTTACAGGGTAAATGAAGGGAGCATTGCAGCTGTCTCTGGGAGTTGCACATAATTAATAATACATCCCCTAGCCTTTCTGAGGCCAGACTGTCCAGGGTGGCAGTTCTTTATTATTCAGTGTTCCAAGAGGCTACATAAGTTTTTTCACACATGCATGTATCTCTCCATTAAAACTTTCTCCTTTTCACCAGTTTGTATTATTTGCTCTCTTGCTCTCTGAATTTTCCCAGTTTCCAGTTTCTCGTGTTCAGCTTCTGGGCCATTTACCTGTCTCATCTACAGAAATGTCACAGTGCCAGTCTACACTACGCTGAAAGGGGTAAGGAGTTACCTCACTTTTCCTGTTATGAAAAGCATGGTCAAGGGCTGCTAGTGATTTGAGAAAGAACGGGATGAAGCCATGCAGTGAAGGAAAGGAAATTAGAGAATGTTAGGAAGTACTGGACACCAACAGAATGCAGAAGGAGTAGCAGATGATAAATGAATTCAGGAATACAGAACACTGCAGCAAGTTCTAGTCCAGGAAGCTGCTGTGTGCACTATGAGGCAGTAGAAGCTAGGATGATAGTGGGTGTAGTCTAAACAATAAATGAAATGAAAGAGGTCTCTTGAGACCTTATGGGGAAGCACAGGGCTTGTGGAAGAGCAGAAGGGTGTAACCTCAGAACACCTAAACAGATCAGACTAGAGAGTCCAGTTTGGAAGTTCTCAGACTAGAATGGGAGAAAATTAAGAGCCCTTGGACAGTAGTGGGCAAGGCAGTGTGAAAATGAGGGGTGTGTACTGATTGTTCTGTCTCCTTACTGAGCAAGTATTGTCCTGGGGAAACTCTTCCCTTGCACACTGACCATACAGGTCTGTTTTCCAGAAAGCTGTGCAGATCAGCAACGTGCCTTTCTTAGATGAGTCTTCAGGTTCTGATGATGACTGTGGTTCCCATGCCAGCTTCAGGACTTCTACTGCTGGGTCTGAGAACAGGAAAGCTAGCATGCCAGGCAGCCCTCGAGCAGTGAAGAGAGGTAAAGTCAGAGTATTGCTACTGAGAAGCATGAACTCTGTCCTCATGGTTAAGACAGGATGTTCTGAAGAGCATCATCAGTGGCAGGCAAATGCTTAGCCTTGGTGATGCTAATAAGGAGTTCTCCCAGAATGTGTGCAGGCATCAACAGCTACTCAGTAGAAACCCGTCCTCTTAGATGGGCTTTTACTGCTCGTAGTTTTTCATCCAGGCACTTGATAAACTCAGATTGTGGGAAGGATTGATCTCCCAAATTCATCACTTATCTAGTGAAGCCATCCATACTTTTACTGTGACTTGACCTTGTAAGCAAGCTAGTATTACCTTAAAGGAAATGTTTTTTGTCTCTGTCACTGACTGATAATTTCATGATCAGTAAGCAAATATGTCCTATCTTTGAGAGGCATCAGGTGATTTGGGTCCTGGCTAGGCCAGTTATTCCTGACTGCAGGGAAGGTTAAACTGGATCCGTGAATGGAATTTTCAATACAATTGGTAGTCAATAAAATAGAATTCCATTTCATCTAGTCTTAACTTCTGTTGTGATGCATTGGCTGTGATGTATCTCCACATTGCCATGTGGTGGAAGATTCACAGAAAACAAAGCCGCATTGCTGGTCATTGAGAATGAATGTACTTAGAATGAGAGGGGCTTGATGCTTTATAGTGGATGTTTCCAAGCTGAGAACAGCATGTCTGTGATTTGGATAACAAGTCTGTTGATTTATAGATACATGTGTATATATACATATGTGTGTAATATATAGTCTCTGTTTATTCAGCAGAAATTTCTTACACTGTACACTGTCAGTATCCAAAACTCACTCCCATTACTTGTCTTCCTAAGGAAAAAAATGGTCTCAGAAGTTTGGTTACTGGGACTGGAATTTCCAAAGTCTCATCTGATTTGTTCTTCATGAACAAAACCACCTTAATTGTGATCTCAGTTTTCAGAGTGTGCAGTATTCAGTACATACTTCTGTCTAGCCATTATTCTCATTATTTCCTTAATTTTGAACAGGTGTATCTGCGTCCTCACTGAGCTCTGAAAGTGATTATGCCATTCCTCCTGATGCCTACTCCTTGGATGGTGACTATTTAGAGCCAGAACATAAGCTACAGCGAACATCTTCCTATTCCACCGACGGTGGAATCTGCACTGTAAGTCTTGCTACCTCACAGCTGTGCAGGGATGCAAACAGAGCCTTGTTCTTGAAACAGAAAAAGTATAACTACAATATATTATCTCCTGCAAAGTGACGCTCTAGCAGATTGGGCTGTTAGTCCAGCTGGTTTGTATCAAAACGCACTATCTGCTGCTTCAGAAGAAGGTGCAATTTCTGTTATGTAGTTAGATAAAAGTGTAAGCATCAAGGGCTGTATCCTTTCCTGATGACCTGTACTGGTTTCCTGTAGTATTCTACTTTAATGATGGCCTTCCACTTTTGTGACAAGTTTGGAAATTCAGATGAAAGAGGAGAAAGGATAGAATATTTTGGTCTAAAAAAAAAACCAAACAACCTCAAGCATGGGCAGCATTAAATTTTGTAGTCTTGATTTAAGTGATCAAGCAGACAAGGAACAAGAGTCTAATGACTTAGAGCCAGCCTTCATTTTTATTTGGAAAATCACTGTTATGGCAGGAAGACAAGTTTTCAGTACCTGAAACAATCAATGAAATGATCTTTAGGTATCCTCTTTTCTGAATCACCACAATGGGGTATTTGCAGCTACACATATATTCTAGGACTCTTTCATGTTTAGCAGAGAACATTGACCTTGGATGTCTGCTACTCCCATCAGGCAGAGTAAAGTAGAAAAGGATGCACGTGCAGCAAATATCTGAGCTTGATTTCAGCATTCTTTCATTTGTATTTTGAGTAATGCAAGATAACATCCTCTACCCTTTGCTGTTTGCCCTCCAGGAACCCATGGAGAAATCTGGTTACTTGCTGAAAATGGGCAGCCAGGTGAAGATGTGGAAGAGAAGATGGTTTGTTCTGAGAAACAGACAAATCATGTATTACAAGTCTCCGGTGAGTCACATTTACTCCTGTGTGGAGGCACAGGGAAGGCTGTCTGCAGAAACCATTCCAGGCTGATACCACTGGCAGAGTGGACCCAGAATGCCCTGCCAGAGAGCTTTATGTCTGACCCACAGGTTCAGCTGTGGGTCTCTGCTTAGGCAAGGAAGCTCCTTGCAGTGACAGATTCCAGGAGATGGAAGGCTGGTCAGGAGGACAGGAGCGTGATACCTACCAGTTAACTTTGTACAGATGATGACAAGCAGAAGGCATGCCATGGCCCAGCTTTGGTCATGTTTAAGATGAAAATAAATGAAAAATATATTACAATGTGAGGAGGGTACAGATACATACTCAGTATAGGGGTCTTTGAGCAAAACTACAGCTTTCAGGGGGACGAAAGCTAGATTCTTTCAGTTTTACCCTCCTACACGGACATGTAAGTATTAGAAAACAAGGATAAAACTGAAAATAAGCTTTCACACAAAATTCTGTCTTACACTGATCAGTGAAACAATATTGAGAGAACATGTTTGTACATACAAACCTTTTCAAATAACTTTTATAACCACAACATTTCAAATGAAGTTACATTATTTTAAAAATCCTAACATTATGCATTCAAAATTTATATATTCAATAAAACACATTTCTTCTTGGCCTTCATTATTCTGCTGCACTTAGCTATATTACAGAGAATTATATTTAGGGATATTCACCTTCCATACTTTTTTCTCCTGGTCACAGCAATTTCCTCCAATACCTGCATAAATTACACAGAATTTCTGTGTATATACACATCTTTGCTTACAAGTCAGGAATATTGAGAAGATTTATTTTCAACTTCTTTATTTTTTCAGCTGTCATATTCTGACAAGGCAAAAATACACCTTAGGGCACAATGCATCTTTATTTCTGATAGTAGGTTTATCCACCAGAATTCACAAGCAAATTATACATACATGATATATACATACACATATATAAAAAATAATTTCATAAAGATGCAGAATTTAGATTGTTGGTTGCGAGGGACTAGTCCAACTGATGCATTGAAGAGGGACTGTCACCAGCTGTAGATCAAACTACCTGTGGCTTTGTCCAGCTGAATCTTGAAAACTTCCACAGGTGGAAATTCAGCCGCTGTCTTGGTACCTGTTTGGTGTTGTACTGCCTTCCCAGCGACAAAGGGTTGGTTGTTTTGTTGCTTTTCTTCCTGATGTCCAGTCTGGACCTCATAAGATAGTACTTGTCTTCATTACCTCATTATTTTATCTGCCGCTACTGAGAAGACTTTTCCTTCATCATTGCAATGGGATCATACTGTCTCATATTCAACTTGGCAAGCTGTCCTTTCCAGCTCAGTAATGCAGACTCCAACCTGCACATGCACATTATGCTGTATTTAAGTACTCTAAGACCTCTCTGATGTTTTTTGAAAAAGTTGTTTGCTTTTCTTTCCTCAGAGTGATGTTATCCGCAAACCGCAAGGGCGGATGGAGCTGAATTCCTCGTGCCAAATTGTCAGAGGCGAAGGGTCCCAAACGTTCCAGGTAAGCATTGCTTTTTCATCCTGCAGGTAACCACTCACTCAGTGGCTGGATGAGAGAGCATTTATTTCAGGCTGAATGGTACTGTATGTACCAATTGATACCAATATTAATTGATACCAGCTTCTATCTGGCCCCTGTGTTTCTTGGCACAAGCAAGGCATTTACTTTAATAAATAATGGGGAAAGAGCTAAACTGTAACCCAAATAGAGTTTTTTGAAATTGAAAGAATTTCTCCTTTGTTTTTGTTTTATTTTACATCATATCACTTTCCTTTTTTGCATTTAAGACTGCAATCTGCGGGGGAAAGTGATTCTTTAACAAATAAAACCAGGTAGCACCTAGGATCTCCTCATTCTGAATGATTCCTCTCACGAGATTGCTAGCCTGACTTTACATGTCTGGAGGATCTGAAGAAGCATCTGAAGTATTGAATTCCTATTAGAATTCAACTTCTGAAGTATTAGAAGTTAGCTCATCGCTGGGTTCAGTTTTAAGTAGTTTTTGTAGAGGATTCCATTAATAAAGATAACGTTAAAGTTTCTCTCATTTTCTGACTGACAGGTTCATAGCCTGACCTGAGACCTACCTTCTGCTGTTATGGAACTGAAGTTGCTAAGGCTTAATACTATTAGATACATAGCATCTTTCCTCACAAGCCATTGAAGGCAGAATGCAATATAAAGTGAAGGCAGCAAAAAATAACTGTTTATGTAGTCACCTTTAAAATGAAAAATTAGCAGTACTGAGAAACAAGAAAGTATAAGAGAGGAGACAAAGCCACACTATCCAACAGAAACAGCAAGAGAGCTCATGAGAATTTTGTTTATCTGGGTTTCAGCTCTTTCACTTGGGCTTTGAGCGTTAGCAGTTTTTTTCTCATCCCACTTCCAAAATCCCTCCTGAACCACCAAAAAAAGTATAATAAAAAAATCTGTATGGAACAATGAAACAGCAGCTGAAGGAAAGCTATGTAGGTGTGTGTATTTGTACTGGCTCATTCCTTTTCCTTCCAGCTCATGACAGAAAAGAGAACCTACTTCCTGACAGCTGACTCTCCCAATATCCTAGAGGAATGGATTCATGTCCTACAGAGTATCCTCAGAGTGCAAGTGACAAGTCCTGTTGGTGTTCCTCATAGTGATGCTAAACCCACTGTGAAAGGTTGGCTCACCAAGGTAAAACACTGTTTATTCAGTTTAGTCCAGTATTAACAGTGTACCAGCTTCTCGGTTTGCACAGTAAATGTCGGTAAGAAATCAGTATTTTAATACTGTGGGGAAAAAGTGGGGAAAGCAAGAGAGTGGTAGTAGATTTCTGTATTTCAGAGGCAGGAACATTTATATAAATGATAAGGAATGGGACAAGCAAGGCTACTGAGAGATACTGACTTTGTCAAATAGTAAGTAATATCAAATATCTAGGTTATGTGTGCTTTTCTTCAACAGATCCTACAGCATGTCCCAGGAAAAAAGAAACAAACAAAAAAACCAACAAATCAGGAAATCCTGTGAAATGTCACATTTCACTGATCTGGACTTGGTGTTATAGGAGAGTTTCAAAGAAATAGGCTTGTATGGTTATAGGCTAGCATTTATTTCCATCATAACAGACTGCATGCACATTAGTACAAAGAAAGTAGAATAGCTGAAAATTCCTATGGCCTATACCATTTTCATACATTAGTTTTGCATAACAAGTTACTGTGAATTTTTAAATGTAATTCTGGTCAGCATCTAAAGATGGCTAAAGACAGCCTGCATCTGAAGCTGATTCATCTGCAATAGGAAGCAGTTCTCTAGACTACATGTTGACAAGTCACTTCCTGCTGAGATGAAATGATTTGGTTTTATAATCTCAAAAAGGTCATTCTTAATATTGTATTTCAGGATACAGACATGACAGGTTGTGATCAATTGGTAAAATACTTCACAAAATCTTAGATCCATTTCCATAAGCACTTACTTCCCATCAAATTATAATCTGCTTTTGGAAGTGGTGCCCTGGATATTTTGAGAGGAGTTCATATTAGCATAGAACAAATAATATATGCAAGGTTTTAAGGGAAAGTTGAATTAAAATTCAAATGCTAAAAAATCATTCCAGCAACACTGATGATGTTAAAAACTTGTATTTCTTTGTTCTCCTGACAGGTCAAGCATGGTCACTCTAAGCTGGTCTGGTGTGCACTGATTGGAAAAACTTTTTATTACTACCGAAATCATGAAGACAAGGTAATTCCTTTCCCCAAGGAAAGGACCCTGCCAAGTATAATGGGAAGAAAATAGTACCTTATGGGAAAGGCCACCTCTTTATTTGCATATTCTCATTCTGACCTCTAGATGGTCTCCCAAGAAAAATAATAGAAATAGTAACATAGCTTGTAAGTACTTTAGTTGATGAAAGAGATCCTATAGAAATGCAAGATTATATAATTACATTAGTTAAACACTGAATTATAGTTTATTCCTTACATTTTACAGAACTGCTAACATTTTGACCTGGGTTTTCTTTCCCAGTGTTCCCTGTCCGTGGTGGGAGATTAGCTGCATTTATCTAACTGCTTCTCCTCCTTACAGTGTCCCCTAGGACATCTGCTTATGCGTGAGTCCAAAGTGGAAGAAGTGGACCGTTCCTGTGACTCTGATGAAGATTATGAAGCCACTGGTGGAGGACTTGTCTCATCTCACTGTACATTGGTGATTCACCCACAGGACCAGAGTCCCACATACTTACTCATTCGCACCAAACAGGAGAAGGTATAAAAGGCAGTCTGTTTGAAAAGAGAGACTTTTTGGTATCAGTGAACAAATGGGGTGTACAGACTGAACCTCTTTATAGAAAACAGGAATTGACCTGTACTGTTTTCATCTTTATGCCTAGAATACCTGGCTGTACCATCTGACTGTAGCAGCTGGTAGCAGTAGTGCCACAGTGGGCACATCATATGAACAACTCATTGGAAAACTATTGGACGCAGAGGGAGACCCTAGTAAGTAGAAACCACAAACTCTTTTCCATGGTAGCAAAGTGTAAGGAAAGGTAACTTCAATTCCCAGTTTTAATCCAGCTAAAGCTGAAAGAAGGAGATTCGCAGTAAAACAATGTGTGATCTAGTGTCCCTCTCCTATAGTTCCACAATAACATCTCCAGAGAGGATACAGGTATTGTAGTGAAACTAGATAAGTCCATCACATTGTCACATAATGTATCAAAGCATCTGAAATGTCTGTAACATAATTCAAATTAGATTAAAGAACTGGGGTTTTAATTCTTCCTGTTATTGTCAGTCCTGATTTTCCATTCCTGGGAATCTTGACCATACAAACACATGCTCTCTTCTCTAAATATACTCATGCACACTGTTCTTCTCTTCCTGCACATTGGCCTTCACATCTGTTCCTCTGTCTGCACATGTAAGCCCTCACACCTACATTCATGCTTATCTGTTCCTCATCATCTTTGATACTTTCTCATTCATGTATGTTTATGCACCATGTTCTCAAATGTGTATTAACATGCATTTGTACTTTATACTCTTTTCCTACACACTCATATTCCTAGAGCTGTATGTGAACCTTTCTTACTGTTGAATAGTGACTTGCACTAACACAGATCCCAATTACAGGCAGCTGCTCTGGCAGAGTTTGTGTCTCCTGATTGAATGCAGAGCTGAGCAGTTTCTGACTAGAATCCAGCTGATGAGAAGCTCTGACATAGCAGGATTGAAAATGGCAATACTTCTGATGGCTAATACTGCTGGTGACTCCCTGTTCATGGCAGGCTTTGCTGAAGTCAGTGAAGTGGCACCAAAGATAAATGTGGCCTATCTCATTACTACTTTCTTAGGTTCTTTGCCATTTCATCAGGGCTTCTTTTCAATGCGGATACTGTTATCTGTCTGCTCTTTCTGACCCAGCATTTTTTGCCCATCTGCTATCTCAGATTGTCCTCTGTGGAAACATCCTATGTTGTGCTACAGTAAAGATGGGTTGCAGACATCCCTCACCACTCTGCCTTCAGAGGCTCTACAGACTGAAGCTCTGAAACTTTTTAAGGTATTTAAACAGACATTGATGGGTTTCAATTATTTTGCTCTGTTGTTGGGACAGCAACATTTTTTGCTCCTGTTGTTTGCCACAACAGTTACTGCCGCCATTGGTTGCTTTAGACAAGCCTGTTGGGTCGTTTAGTTATAATAGGACTGTTAGGTATTAGGTGTCATTGATCCTCTGGAGGTTTAACTTTTACTTGTAGGGAACTTAGGTTTAGAAGCAATATCCCACATAGGCTTTACACTTCAAAGTTAGCTATATATATTCCCCTTTCCTCTCTAATAGTTGAATTGAAGGAAACAGAAACAATTTACTAGCAAACTCAGTTGTGTCAGTAAGATCAATGGTGAAGCCACTGGAGATTTGATTTTTACATTCTCTAAGTGTAAGATCAACAGTAAGACTGGACAGTCTTAGCAAGGTAAAGCACAGGCATGGAAGACAGGAAGTACACTTTCCCCTCAAGTCTCTCGCTGACTTGTGAGCTCCTCAGGCTGGTGGAGGTTGAATGAATTTTCTAGTTTCCACGACTAAAAGAGAAGGATGGGAATGAAGTGCTTATTCTCCTCCCTCCTCTCAAGGTTATTTAGATTTAATTGTAATACATCTGGAGAACCTGGTCTGGAAAGTACCAGAGAAGAATGGCTGTATTCTGTTGACTAATTTCCACCCTTTTACAGTCCTGTCAGCTGTTCATCAATGTCCCTGTGGAGGCACCCTCTATTGATTACCACGTGTCACTCGCCCAGACAGCGCTGCAGGTCTGTTTGACACATACTGAGCTGCAGAATGAAATTTACTGTCAGCTTGTTAAACAGACCAGCTGCCGACAACCCCAGAACCACTCAGTCATTCAGGTCAGTTTCCCTTTTGTCACTTCCACTCTGCAAATGCTTTTTATTTAATGCCATATTTTTAATAATCAGCCATGAGACTGGTTCTCATAAAACTGTGCTAATACTAAAGGTGTGTTGGAGGAAAGAGAATCTCAGCACTTATGTGTGAAGAAAAACATCGCAAATGTAACCTACTTGCAAAATAAATTTTAGTTTGAATTTAACCATTTACCAGTTGCAAATGATCTATTTGGACCATATTCAGAATCAAAATTCATAGCTCATGTTGGCTAGCTATAATTGTCACATGGTATTAATTTTTATTTGCATTTTAATTAACAGCATGTAAATCATTAATACTACTATTAAGCATGAACTCTGATTTTTGCACTATAATTACTGGGTAAATGAGTAAGTTGCAGCATGAATGTACATACTTGATTATAATATTCCCAACTCAAATGAGAAAATAAAATCTGGCTGAACAATAATGGGTCTAATTTAAATAAAAATTCACCAATGTATTCTTTGCTATGATCTGCAGTTACAAATATGGAAAAAAAATTAAAAAGAACAGTCCGTCCTCTGACCATCACTTCCCTTTGAAGCATTTTGAACCACATGTCTAAAATGGTCTCTCCCAAAAGCGTTAGGTACCATCCAACATTTTGGTTGCAGTATTCTCTGAAAGACAACAGGCAAGAAGTACAGAACAAGAGTGATGTCCAGTTTTATGTTCACAGTGCTGGCAACTCCTGGCTTTGTGTGCTCCTCTATTCCTGCCTCAACATCACTTCCTCTGGTACATCAAACAGCACTTGCAGCGACATGCTGACCCCAGGTAAAGACTGTAAGAGCATTTTATTCTGCTAAGCTGATTGCCTTTTGCATTCACTGTGGATAAAGATAGAAGCAATTTTGTAACACACACCTGCAACAGTAAGTTGAGGGAGGGAACAGAAGCTTCCAAACAGTATGGTGCCCTTTCAGTCATTCACATTATTTTGTCGCTTATATTAAGCTATTTCACAAAACTGAGCGACTTATACTACTAGCAAAAGAACTTTCTGCAGATATAACTAGAGCTACGTAGGGAGTTGGTTTGTTTTTTTTTTTTTGCTGATGCAGATTCTTTCTTTTATTAACAGAAAAACCAAAGTAATTATTTAGAATGAACTATTAGAATTTTAGGTAATTACACTCTGCTGCCAGGTTAGTAGGCATACTGACAGAAGTGAGGCGGAGAATATTATAAAAAGTAGGAAAAATTAACAAACCTGAAATATATGCTAGTACTGTTTTCTGTTACCTCTTTGGCATCTAACACTTTCCTTATAAGAAAACAGTGCAAGATCTACTGTCAGGCAGAAGTTGTTTCCCCGTGTTCATGCTGTGCTCTTTGTTTCCATGGTGATCTGGTCTTCAGCAAGTCTCCCTGTGCCCTTGGTTGGGAGGTCACAGCTGGAGATGTCTAATTGTTGCAACAATATACTGTTGCTAAGACATAAGTAAAAGAGTGGTTTCATTTCAAACAAATATTCCTGTTCAATTACCAGTCTTCTTTGGAATTCAGTTGAAAGTCAGGTATTGCAAAGGATATCTCTGTACTCCTCCTATCAAGTTTTTTTCTATTTTCTTATATGCTGCCTCACATTTGCTATGTCTTCTCAGGTGCAGAAATACAAATATCAGGTACTCCTTGATGTTCAGGCTCTCTCTCCGCTGGCTAAGGCAACCTGTTGGGGATCTTTTGGCTAGTACTAGAAAACAGCACTAAAAAATTTGTTCATTACCAGCTCTTCAAAGGAGCCCATTCTCACAAACTCAGCAGTGGAGCTACTCTACTGTTAGGGACTATTAAATTTCATAAGGATGAGCTGGGCTCTGTGAAATTGGTTTGCATCAGTTTCAAGCATTACTATGCTGATGGTCTGCCAGGTTCTTAGCCTCAGAGTACCTTTATAACAAATAAACTTTAAGTAGAAGCAAAGAGGAAATGTATGTATACAATCCAGCTATGAAACAATATTAGGGCCTGGAAAAAAATAACACATCAAAGCATATAGAGATAACAGCAAACTGTGCTTATATTCATCAGTTTAGGTTATATTTAGAGCAGTTGCTAAATAGGACTTAGGTCCTTCTGCCTAGCTTTAGACTTGTATCTCTTAGGTGGAGCAGGTATGGCTGTTTCTTGACCAGTTAAATAGATAGTCTTCCGCTGTTTCATACAGCAAACAGTACACTAGAATGTTTACACTGCGTGATGCCTCTGGGCTAGGTTTACACTAGATATTCTAACTACTGTTTGTCATGAAAGGTGACCTTAGAGTATATATCTGGTCTCTAAGAGAGGAAGAACAGTGGAGTACAGTTCTAGGTTAGAAGACGCAAGGCTCAGGAGCATTTGGAAGCCAGACACAACAGCTTCTCATCAAAGCAAGATTCTCAACTTGAAAATTGTGTAAATGAATTACTGGGGAGGTGAGCAATATATAAAATATGTATAAGACTCTAGAGCTCCTGACTTCCATATTGCTTGGAGGGATTTAACTGGAGATTTAATCATGTACTGAGCTTCTGAAGGCATCTTGAATGAAGTTAATTTCCCCTGCAAAGTGATAGCACAGTTATAAATTCATATAAATCCTTCAATTTCAGAACTTATTCAGTATATGCATTGTAAACATTTTTGCAAAAGGTGTAAGTGCCTGGCTTTAGAGACACTTATATCCTTTTGGTGCTGTTCATTGCAGCTCTTTTGTCAGTAGACAGTAAACTGATCATATCAGTAACTATCCCAGTGCTGTATTGAACTACCAACAAACCTGAGCTTGCTTTGAATCTCTGAGTCTCTTGATTGGCAGGTAGGATTAATACATGGAAACTTAGAATTTTTATAACTATGTAAGTTGATAAACACAATTTATATAATCCTGTGAGACCAATGCATTACAACTTATTATTAATACTTACTAGGACTTGACATGATAGTAACTCAGTTCTGCTGGTATGACGACGAGTTGGAGGGTAAACTGGTACAGAAGAGGGTATTCCTGTACTATGTCCAGTCCACCTAGGAGCAGGGAGTGCTCTTGCACTTCCTAGAAAGTCCACTGTCTACCTTAATTTTATAGATCCTTGGAGTTGGGGTTTGTTTTGTAGCTTTTCACTCGAGCTGTTAGTCTGTTGAGATGAATGAGGATGTCTGCATAGAGATGTATCTTTGCTTGAGCAAAAGCCTGACCGAGGAATTCTTTGTCATGGCATGGGAAATGAAGAGGACATGGCATTTAAAGCATGTTTGTGGCTTTTCTCCACATCTTCACCTAGAAGTGAAATAGGCAAGTATGCCATCTACTGCCAGAGATCAGTAGACCGCACTGTGCAGACTGGTGAGCGAGAAGCCAAGCCCTCCCGGATGGAGATTGTGTCCATCCTGCTGAGAAATCCCTACCACCATTCACTCCCCTTCAGCATCCCAGTGCACTTCATGAGCGGAACCTACCAGGTGAGCCACCACAGCTGCCTTTCTTCCAGGCACTAGAGGCCTGTATCATAACCTGCCTCCTTCATGTGGGTGGAACCATGGTGTTGTATGTATCAGATGCTGGGAGATAGATGCTATTTCTCCTTCTTGCCATTTTAGCCATTTTTCCTCAGAAAAGGGAATCCAACCTCAGCTTTACAGGTCATAGGAAGAAAAGGTAGCTGGGGAAAAGGGAGAGATGTCACAAGTTTCACAGTATGAGAAGGAATGCAGTGTGAGAGGAGACAATATGCAAGTGCTGTCACTGGAGCTGGCAGTCAATCCTCAGACACCACTCTGTAGGAAACAAGGCTTCAGTAGTTGTGATATCCATCAATGTCATGTTTCTTGAAAGCTATCATCAACCGACTCCTCTTTCATTGCAGGTTGTAGGTTTTGATGGTTCCTCAACAGTCGATGAATTCATCCAGCGACTGAACCAGGAGACAGGAATGAGGAAACCATCCCACATGGGATTTTCTCTGTTCACAGATGATCCTTCTGGCAGAAATTTGGAACATTGTCTGCAGGGTAACATGAAGGTAATTTTTTTTTCCCCTCTGCTACATCCAGCACACAGCTTCGAAGAGCTGCTAAATGGCTAATACATTTTTCTTAAAGCAGCAAGAGCAAATACACTTCGGTATTGTCTATCTAGATTAGTATTCAGAGATGAGTTATTAATTATGCACTTGAGCCACAGCAACCCCATGCAATGCTAGAGGCTTGGGGAAGAGTGGCTGGAGAGCTGCCTGGCAGAAAAAGATCTGGGTGTGTACTGGTTGACAGCTGGCTGAACATGAGCCAACTTGTGCCCAGGCAGCCAAGAAGGCCAACAGCATCCCGGCCTGTATCAAAAACTGTGGCCAGCAGGGCCAGGGGAGCAATCATCCCCTTGTATTCAGCACTGATGAGGCGACACCTCAAACACTGTGTTCAGTTCTGGGCCCTTCACCACAAGAAACACATTGAGGCGTTAGAGCATGTCCAGAAGAGGGCAATAAGCTGGTGAAGGGTTTACATACAGCACAAGTCTTACATGGAAGAGTTGGAGGAACTAGGGTTGCTTAGTCTGAAGAAGAGGAGGTTCAAGGGAGACCTTAGTGCTTTCTTATGACTGCCTGAAAGGAGGTTGTAGTGAGGTGGGGGTCAGTCTCTTTTCCCAAGTAACAAGTGATAGGACAAGAGGATATTACCTCAAGTTTCAACAGAGGAGGTTTAGTCTGGATATTAGGAAAAAAAATTTTCAGCAAAAGTGTTGTCAAGCACTGGAACAGGCTGTCCAGGGAAGTGGTTGAGTCACCATCCCTGGAGGTATTTAAAAGATGTGTAGATGTGGTGCTTAGGGATGTGGTTTAGTGGTGGACTTGGCAGTGCTCAGTTAACACTTGGAGTCAATGATCTTAAAGGTTTTTTCCAACCTAAATGATTCTGGGATTCTATAATTATATGTCTAGTCTGAGAAACTAGTTAAGATGAAGCATATTCTGTTTAGTAGGTGATAAATTGGTCATTTTTTGAAAAGTCAGCTTAGATTTTAGCACAAATACAAGTTTTAATTTGTCTTGACTACAAAATTAAAACATGACTGAGCTAGCTAGCATGGTCAGGTATCACAACTAACATCAAATGTGACATTTCTAATTGAGACAAATTTATGTTAGGCTGTGAATCTCTTGGCATGTCTATATAAATCCCATATATTGTATTTATATTTATGAAGTATCTCCTTGCTATCTCCTGATTAAATAAAGCTTTCATTGTCAATGGGTGTACTTAGGGAAGAAAGCTCTTTACTGATTAAGCCTTCACTTTAAAAAAAGAGAGGAGTGGCTCACATCAAGAGAAAAGGAAAGCAAATAGAGTATTAGCATTTGTGTTTCATATGGAGATTTTTACCCACACTGTGGATGACTGCCTTAAGTGAGCAGGCTAGCAGGAATGCGACACATCAGATTTTGGAACAAATCTGGGAGAATGATTTGTCATACGGATGTCATACTGATAACATTTGTTGTCACATTCAAAGTGACAACTTTGAAGAGTCCCTGATACCTGTAAGGAACATCATTTTACACAGCATAAAATTTCACATTGGGCAACAGAGGGACAAGATACCAGTAACTTTAAATTAGATGGTTGAAAGAGGACACTACCACAGGGGGTGCCAAATGATATATTTCTCTTTCATGGCCTGATACAGGTCAGATAATCTGGAGCTTTTCTGGTAGCTGAACAACTGTTTGGAGAGAGGAGATATTAGAGTAAATGGAGGAGTTGAGATTATCAAACACATCACTTTTACAGGATATTAACTGGTTATTATTTACTTGCAAAGGCAACCTCAGTAGCTTCTTAAGAGAGGATTAGCATATCTGATTATGTATTTCATGTGGCTTATTATGTTCACATTCCTTTTATTGAGATGCTATCAAAAGAGAAGTTGTGGCCTTTATTAGGCAACTTGTAAAAGGAATGGAATAATCAGTAGGAGCTGAATGAAACCAAAGAAATCAACCATGCTATTACTAAAAATACGTCTGAGTTACAAAGCTGGAATCTAGGACCAAATGTTCCCAAAATTTGGACATTCACATCCAAAAGTGTTTGGTTTAGCCATGCATGTAGACAGTTGCTATGCAGAAGATATATTAGTCCTTTAGTTTGGCTCAGGGGGGCATTCTGAAGCAAACCTACCAATCATTCCTGTTAACCATGCTTTGATTCACATCAAGGGGCAACTTCAGAAAGTATGAAATGGATTCTTTTTACATGAAGCATGAACTAGAAGATGTGATCCAACATAGTAGGAAGCTTTCAGGCCATTTGATCAGACTGAAGCTAGTCTAAAGGAAAACACTTTGAAACTCATACACTCGGGCATAGAGTCTTAGGTGTTTCACTGTGCAGATCTCCTCCTGGGCTTTGCTACATGCTAATATAGACATAACCACAGGATTGCTAGGAGACCAGAATTCATTTACACATGGTTCCCTGCAGATTAGAGCTGGAGTTTTCAATTGGAATGCTTTAATTATTACATACTGTGTAATAGAAAAAGGAATTGCTTGTCACTTTTGGTTGTTTATGCTGATCCAGTCTGTTTGTTTATCTTCTGTGTTCCACAATACCTTTTCCACGTACTTTCCCCTCAAGCCTTGACTATACATTTCACCTTAGTTTGTCTTTCCTTTCTCCATAATATTTTATTTAAAGATCTGTGATGTCATTTCTAAATGGGAACAAGCCTTAAAAGAACTGCATCCTGGGAAATATGAAGGTGGCACAAGAATTGTGAAGTTGACCTATAAGAACAGGTACTGTGCTTTGTTGGTTGCTCTCACTACTGCTGTTAATCAAACATTTCTAGACTGCATATATCACTGTAGATGTCCAGTAATTTATAGTACTGTTAGTGCCAAAACTTTTAAGTTAAGATGGGTTCAAATCCTACATGAGATGTGATGACTTGTGTGTGTAGTACATGTATAAAAGAAGGCATGTGGCCTAGAAGTAAAACCAAAACCACTTTGCAATAGCAGAAGAGACTTAAAATGAGTTAAGAAGTAGCTGTAGCACAGTAAGATATACTTGGCACAATTTAATTTGCATAGATCCTAAAGTGTAATTAAATAATGTGTGTTAGGTGAGAGGAGGAGAGACCTGAGGGAAAAATCACCAGTGAAAACAAATATGCTGAAACTTGCAATTAAGTGAGGAATCACAAAGATGAAAAAGATATAAGAACAATACTCTAAATAGCTTGAGCTGTAGAAGAGACACGTAGCAGCAGTGCCCAGACTTTATAAAGAAAGAAATGTTACAAGTTAGATGATGAGAGATGGTAGAGAAGTACGAGACAAAGATCTAAACCAAAAATTGGAACAAGTTCATCATTTATAACACAGACATGAATTCTGAATTGTAGTGAATGGAGAGCTGTATACAAGAACAAGAAATGGCTTTCTGCATGTGAATTCTCTTTTCAGGCGAAACAAAGACCACCCAAAAACCAAAAAGAGATAAAGTTCTGTATTGAATGTATGTTGTGGTTTAAGCCCAGCTGCCAACCCAGAACCACACAGCTGCTCGCTCACTCCCCCCTTTTCCTCCCCCTGGCTCCTGAAGGGATGGGGAGGAGAATCAAACGAATGTAACTCGCACGGGTTGAGATAAGAACAGTCCAGTAACTAAGGTATAACAGAAATCACTGCTGCTGCCATCAGTAATAATAATGATAAAGGAAATAACAAGGGAAGAGAATACAACCGCTCACCACCCGCTGACCAATACCTAGCCCCACCCGAGCAGTGATCTAGCCCTTCTGGGTAACTGCCCCCAGTTTATATACTGGGCATGATGTGCTGTGGTATGGAATACCTCTTTGGCTAATTTGGGTCAGGTGTCCTGTCTCTGCTTCCTCCCGTCTTCCCCTCCTCCCTGGTAGAGCATGAGACTCAGAAAGTCCTTGGTCAGAGTAAACATTACTGTGCAACAACTAAAAACATCGGTGTTATCAGCGCTGTTCCCAGGCTGAAAGTCAAAAGCACAGCACTGCCCCAGCTACTAAGAAGGAGAAAAATGACTGCTACTGCTGAACCCAGGACAACGTATGAAGATCTTGTTGATTGTAATGGTGGAAAGAGATTTCCGTCACCTTCAGTATAACAGAAGTGGAAGCAGAAGTTATTGCTTTTGACCCAGAAGGCAGTATTTATTTCAGGGATGAAACTTTGTGGTATTTTGTTGGACTGGAATGTGCCTAGGCTGGACACAAGGATGTTTTAATAAGGTCTTTCCAAGGTTGGGCTGTTCTAACACCAGGGACTCTAATAAGACATGTGTAAGGTCAATATGGTCCTAATGGTGGTGTTAATCTTAAAATGAAAATAAACTGACCCACTGGAATGATTATATTGTGTTATGTTGTGGGATACATATAGTACTATGTTGTGGAGTATATGTAGTATACATGTAGTGTATATTCCACAGTAGTGGAATATAAAGATGCAGCTTTAAATAGATAATTGAATTAGATGGTGTGTTCTGTAAATAGGCATGCATGAGGTTCTAGAAGCATTCCCCAAGCTGGTGTCTTCAACCTCCACTAGTCATCTTACTATACTGGGTCAAAGAATTGCAAGCGTGAAGGGAATAAAAACAGTCGGAAGCTTTCACTTACAAGAATGATTCCTCAATTTTTGAAATAAAGGCTGCTAATTGGTCATCTTCTTCCTGCTGAAGCAAACTGAAGACTTTTTAAAATAAGAATAGCAGTGTAAGTGCTCAAACCAAAGCTGGTAAAAATTACAAGTCTATAAGACCTCTATGTAGAAGTTTATACATGTAAAGCAGAGGTAGCTCTGTATTCTATGATAAGCAGAGAAGACCATAGTTTAAATATTGCCTGTCTGTGCTTGAAGGGGATGAATCGACACCAATTTACCTGTGTTTAATAAGGCTTCCCTATCTTGAAGTGACTGGCTTACAGAATTCAAATGGCTTCCAAAGATAGAAAGCATGTTTGAGTCTCCTTGCCCAGATCTTGTTTGTAAGGGAAGCATCTCAGCTTCCAAATCTCTGTTCCAGTACCCCTGGAGAAAGAGGGCAAAGAAAAAAAATCACTCTAATTTTTTACTCACCTTGATTAAAGTTTCCACCTCTACTTTCAGTTCACAATATCTTTCTATCTTCACAATCCTCTCTATGTTTTAGGCTATATTTTCGAAGCCAGGCCAAAGGTGAGACAGACCGTGAGCGGTTGCTGCTGGCCTTCCAAGTCAGCAATGAAATAGCCAATGGAAGGTTTCCTGTTAATAAGGAATTAGCTCTGGAAATGGTGGCTCTGATGGCTCAGGTGAGTATGGTTATGGGCAGAAATCCTCTCTTTTGTCTTCCATGGACTTCAGCTGTGCACTGAATGTCTTTGACTAAGCAGCTGTCTTTTACATCAAAAGTGTTTGTTTTGTTTTATTTTTAACAAACATAGTCTGAGATGTACCTTGCCAAACACATTATACCAGCTTATGTATGTTGCTAGAACACCTCTTGCTGTAGAGAAATGTGCTATAGGAGTGTCTCTCCTTTCTTTCTGAAGAAAAATATGGAGTTTTTTTCCTTCTTTTTGAAGAAAAATATGGCTGGAGTATCCCCAGTACTGCTCCAATTAGTAGTGCCTTAGTAGAGATATGGAAATGGTATCACTACTAAAATTCTATTAATAGTAAAAATTTTTCCTCTTATACTGCCAATAGCCCCTTAGGAAGAGCATCAGGTAGGATCCTCCATTAGATCTCCAGGCTTTCATTAGCTTTTTATCAGATAAAAAACACAGTATGGCTTGTGGGCATGATAAGCAGGATAATAGTTTCTTACTTTGCTGAAACTGGTTGTGTCATTTATTAAAAGTGTAAACTGAGATGAAGAAGCTGGGAATGTTGTCCAAACTAGAAACACACAGTTGTTCTAATTGGCCAATTGAAAATAACCCCAAAAGCTTAGCAGTTATACAGAAGTGTCTCCCTACAGTAAGTAGCTGAAACAAGATCTTGCTTCATTGTCTTAGATAAGTAAAGAATTCCCTGGGCAGTCATGTCTCAGTAGTTGCTCTGTTGTATACATTTACTATGGTAAATGCTGCAGACAAAATTCCCCAGCCTAATGGTGTCTTTTGGCATGACTAATAGACACAGGAGTTATCAGTATGGGAATTCATGGAATGTTCTACTGCACTACCCCGTCCTGTGCTCCCCACCCCCGTAGTTCTGTTACACTACAAACTATAATGTTGTCTTAGGTGGAATATGGCGACTTGGATCGACCAGGATCTTCAAGTCCCGGGGGAACATCACAATGGAAAATGCAGCACCTTCTCCACCAGGTCTTAGATAAGTTCTACCCCAAATGCTACAAGCAAAACATTACTTCGGAACAGCTCAGGTAAACTGTTGCTTCTTCTATACTTTGCACTGAAAACAAATTTTATTTGCAAAATTCTGTCTTTAAGAAGTTTGAAGGATCCCTGTGAAGATTATTTGATGTAGAAACTTAACCACCAAGTGTCAGGAAAAGGTTCCTTTAAAAGAAAATAGCAGTTAACTGTTATAAAAAGAGCCAAATCACCAACTAATTTTCCCTTAGACAAGAAGTTTAAGCCTTTCACTTCCAAGTTGGGCATCTCACTTCCAACAAACCCTATCCTAAGTGTAAGATGAATTGTGTTTCTGAATTTTTGTTTTACCCTTCCCCCAAGTGTCAACTGTATCGAGATGCCTAACATTTGCAACCAGCCATAAAGCCAGCACATACGGGCTGCTTCAGGCCATGCAGTAATTCTGGTAGAACATACTCTGGCAGGGCTTTTTGACGTTCTGTCTCAGGAATTCTCACACACAATGCAGAGACCTCCAGTACTCAAGTACATAATTCAGATGCTGCCATGGATGTCAGCTAACTGTTTTAAAGAGAGAGAACAGTCATCTTACAGATCCAAAGCTACTTAGGGATGCAGTGATGGAACTAACATGATTTTCTCCTTTTGGAAGCAATTTCATTTGCATGTAGCAAGATAGCTGCCAAACCATCCCTATTGAGCGAAATCAACAGTGCATTAATATATTGCCAATCCACATACAGCATACTACAGACAAGTTAGGATGTTAAAGTGAGAGTATAATTGAATGTGAAGATAATCTGGACAGGATTTTACTGTAACAGCTGCCTGAGTGTTTGTAGCTACAGGTGTTTAATATATACACCATTTAGCAACCCATATGTGACTGGGATTCCTGGGTATTACAGTATACTAGTAGTAAAATAATGATGGAAGAAGAGAAAACGCTAAAATAAACTGAGGTTGTGCAACCCTCATAACTGTCAGTGCTAAAAGCCCTGTCCTTAATGCTGTGTAGAATGGCCTTTTTGGAATAAGAGGTACATTTATCAACCATTATATTTGACTCACCTTTCCCTGGAAGACATTAGTAAATAATGCTGTCTTGTGTCTTGGCTTCTGTAAGGCAACTGGCTGACAAGTTGGCAACAAAGTGGATGGTGCTGCAGGGATGCTCTCCACCAGAATGCATTCGAATTTATTTGACAGTGGCCCGCAAATGGCCTTTCTTTGGAACCAAAATATTTGCTGCTAAGGTAACTGGAACATGTTTTTTTCTGTTCCTGAGAGTGAACTGAGTAGAGCTGTATCTATGGTCTCTGTTTACACCAGTTAAAAGTGCTGCTTCTTCTGGAAGGAGAAAAAAATGAACAAGACTCTGTTCTGAATGATCAGGTCTGGTACCACATATCAGAAAGAAGGTGCCACTTTAGAAAGAAGGAAGAGAAATATATTCTAAACACTAGGGTTTGCTAGTATTCAGTAAATAAATACTGAAGGTTCCCTGACTGCATCAGCTGATCATTATACAGGGTACTAGCTCTCCTTATAAACCTTGCCAAAGCTGGAATTTCCCTGGTCATCAAGGCTGCAGTGATAGTTTAAAAAATACTATTTACATACCACTGGGGGAGTGGAAGGGAGAGTCCCCCGTAAATCACACCCAGCAGCTGATGCTAGCTAAAAGAAGAATGGATACTTTCAGTCCTGTTGTCTACTTGACACAGAGAGCTGGTGTAGCTTTCCTTGCCACACTAGAGTCAAGCAGTGCTAATGTCCTGTTGCAGAAAGAAAAACAAGCATGTATTGGGTAAGCTGCCAAGCCGCAGGCATCAGTAGGAGAGCTAAGGACAGCTGGAGGGCGTGCTTCTCCCAGTAGCTTGTTCCATCCCTCAGGATCTGTACCTAATGCCCTTGCCTGAATTGATGTTTTAGCACATAATGGCTCTCTGAAAAATTGTTTTGGCATCAACTGTCTTCCCAACCAAGCAGAAACCTCCTCTGTTGAAAGCTTGAGATAAATCTTGTTCATGGTTATATGTCTCTTGCTTTGAAGTCAAAGCCACTGTTGTTATGGAATAAAGTCTAAGGATGAAAGGGACCTCTTGAATAAATATACAAGAAGTTTTAAAAAAGTTATTTCCACTGTCAGGAGTAAAAGCAGAAAATGTTACTTGTCCTTGAGGTTACCACAGAAGAACTGGAATATAGAATAGTTCCACATAGAGTTTAAATAATGTTGATCTTTCTGATGATTGACATATTTTATAACTTTTCAATAGCTGAACAGCAAAGACTATGGCATTAGCCCAAGTAATAGCACATTCCCAGGGAAGACTGATGTCATTGGCCATAACAATCTTTATCTTTAGCAGATAACTGATGCATATTTGTCAAAATCTGTAAGAAAGAAGACTGCTTTGATGTGATGGTACTGGGTGTACTGGTATTACAGAAACCAACCGACTTCACTGTGTGCCTGCCTGATGAAAGCAGTACAAGCATCAGGGCAGAGCAAAACTGCTGTTTTATTGCTCTATCCTAGCACTTGCTTCAGCTTTAACTACACTGGTGGAATTTAATGAATCTCAAGCCATCATTATCATTGCATCTCTTGTGCCAGTAGTCCCAAAATTCTACATAAATCTGAAAGTTATTCCAGTTTTTGAGAAAAATCCTCTTAAAAATTAAACCAGGTCAGACCAGTAAGTCTATGGGATTCTCTCTCATCTTCACTTTATCATTAAACCCCAAGATTTATGTCAGAAACATATTTGTGTGGTGGTCAAAAAATATCTAAATTAATTTTCTTTCTCTCTAGCCTATTTTGCCTTCCTCATTAGAAGACTCTCCAGTCTGGATAGCTGTGAACGAAGATGGTATCAGCATACTGGATTATAACACTATGGTATGGGTGAGGAACACTGAAGCAAAATAACTTACCTCCCACAGAAAAATAGCCCCTTGAGTCCACTTAAAGTCACTGAAAGTTTGTCTTTAACTTCAAGTGGATCCAGAAGTTAATTTGTAGAAGTCAGAGATGAGGGAAGTCAGTACTATGTTTGAACGCTACATAAACAAAGGAAAATTACAGCTACAGTGCAAGGTAGGGTTTCATGAAACAGCTAACTGCCTCATTAATGGGCAGTAAACACGCGCAGACATCTTGCAAAATCTCAGTGATATGTGCTTTACTAACACCATCTGAGATATAACAAAATTTGGACTATTGCTCTGAAGAGGAGAAGCACTGAGCAAGCTAGGAGAAAACTAGAAATGCCGTTCTCACTTGAGCTTCCCCTACCAGCTATTACCTATAAAGCTCATTATTTACGCTGCCTATTGCTGCTGAAGATCTGGTGTTCTTGCCAGATGTAGCAAACATTAGTTTAAGGTGACGGTTTTTTCTTTTACAGAACTATGACTTTTTCAAACTCTCTGTTGTCTACAGCACTTGAAGGTTTCTTACTCATATTCCTCTGTGCTGACCTTTGGAGGCTGTCGAGACGACTTCATGATTGTAGTCAATCAAACGAAAGAAAGGTGTTCTGGAAAAAGCAGCACTGAAAAACTGCTTTTCACAATGGCAGTTCCAAAGGTAATTACAACATTAACAGTATTGTTCTTTCTAGATGGCAGCATCACAGCTGGGCAATTTGTGCAAGCCCCGAGGACTGGTACATATGGCTGCCACACTAGCTGTATGCATTCAGTAAGTCCCTGTAAGCTGGAACCTTTAATCAGGAGATTTTTTCTACCTAATTCTTAGACATACTGTCGTTTCAAAATGGAATAATTGCATGTGAGGAAGCCATTTGCAAAAGTTAAGCAGTCAATAGGTTCTAAAAATCAAAGGGCACTCTTACCTCTAATTGACTTACAGTTAATCATTCTCTGTTTTCCTAGATTGTTGAAGCAACACTTCTTATTGCCAGCTATATTAACTGCTGTTCGACACCTTCATTCCTATCTTCTACACAGCCCTCCCGAAGCAAAACGCCAGCCAACAAACTCTGGGAGACTGAAAATAGGTGCTTTCTTCCTCCCGTGCCCCAAAACACCAAGGGGCCCACCCTGCGCTGAGGGCTCATTCCAGATTAGTTTGGGGCTTTTTTGTTTGTTTGGATTTCTGGTTTTTTTTTTTTTTCCCACTGCTGTGTACCAAATAGCAGACTGCTACGATTTTGCTGGTTACACACATTAATTTAATGTGGGCTCTGATTCTTTTTGCATAATAATAGACAAAGTTCCTCGGTGTGGGTAGAGAATGTCTTCTTAAAAAAAACACTGAATGAGGGGACTGTGCAGGAGTTTCCTTTCCATGCCACACTCCATCCAAAATACCATGCCTCGGGTAATTTGCCTGCACAGTGCTCCAGTCATTTCCTTGCACCCATTCTTCTTCCATCTCCTGATCTTACTGCTTTGCTTACAAGCACGATTGTGCACTTTGATGACTGCCATTTTCAGTTTTCAGAGGACAGAAACTTTCCAATTCCTTGCTCCAGATGTGAAAGGAAGAAAGAAAGAGAGAAAGAACGAAGACACTGTTGAGAAGAGGAACTAAACTGACAAGAATAATGATGCAAGTCAAGGGTAATTTCAGACCTGACATAGAGATATAAAGTAAGAGTTCAGTGGTACTCAAGAATTTATTTTCAACTTTAAATAAAGGTGGAAACCTACTGGTTTTGCATATTGAGGACTCAGACTGACTGGGACTAGAACACTGTCAGATGATACCCTAGCTCCTATAGGACTGATGCATTTTGGGAGTCGATGCTGTTCTACACAGTAGATGAACATCAGATCTCTGCTGCAATGTGCCATGTGCTCCACCATCAGACAAGGACTTTCAGAGACTTTTTCTGTAATCACTGCTATAGATATTTCAGGGTGTGTTTGAAGCTGCACATCATCTCAGACAATGGAAGACAAGGCAAGCAAATTTTGTACTTTTTCTGTCTTTCAGTAACTGGAACAGATCATTCCAAATCAGCTCTGCCATTCTGACTTAACAGAAGCTGCTCCTTTCAAACTCCTGCTTCCTTCACGCTACCATAGCAAGGAGGAGGTAGTCAGCAAATGTGTACTCAAGTATTGTTCTTCTGCCTTTCCTGAAGACTTTTTTTTTTTTTTTCAATTCTTCTTGAAACAATCTATATCTGCCTGGCTTGAGTTCAGCTATTTTGATAAGCATTCTAAAATAACTGCACTTTCAAAAGTACCATGTGCAACTTCATGGTAATTATGCATTCATGGGCAACTTTCCCAAATTAAACCAGTGTGAATCCAACCCTTAGAAAGAATTCAGCAATAGCAAACTAAAGCTATTCACAAATGAACCAACCAACCATACCAGCTTTTTCACTCCCTTGCACCTGCCTTGAAACATCCAACTAATGCACACAGTAGGGCTGATACTTCATGAAGTTTTTGTTTCATGCCTATGATGGGTGCAAAGCTACAAATTAAAAGAGAAGAACATTGGACAGACAAAAGTAATTCTAAACTATCCCTTATCAGCATCTTTGTAACATAAAAAAAAACAAACTACCAAAACCAAACCCACACCAGAAAAAAAATCCCACAGAAAAACCACCCCATAGTGGGTTGTGGAAACAATATGGCAGGAAAGGATTGTATGAACACAAACCTGATTTACACATACTGTCATGTATCCACTTGTTATGAATTTGAGGAGCATCCCTTGAAGATCTGGAAAAGGGTAGAAGCTTTCTGAGCCAAAAACAATGTTGAGAAGGTATTTAGTCTTTTTTTTTTTTTCCTTAGATACTTTTAAGTGACTGTATATCCTGATAGACTGTGTACATATTTTCTCTCTCACACACACACATCAGTTGGAATACAGAGAGCATTATTCCTCCTCCCTCAGTCACCTGTGCCTGACAATCCCTCCTCTACCTGAAGGTCTGCTGGCAGCCTGCTGCTTGTATCCCACCAGTAACAAAGCTGCGTCAACATAAGCTGTGCTGCCATCAGTCCTGAAGATGTTCAAGGCATAAACGTCTCCAGCTCACAGTTCAGAGGCGTCAACACAAGCTGAGCTGCCATCAATGCTGGGGATGCTCAAGGCATAAATGTCTCCAGCAAACAGTTCAGAGGCTGTACTTGCCTTACAGTGCTAACACTACTGTCCTTAGAGACTTGTACTGGGGCCAACAAGGTGTTGAATAAGCAAGAGCTGTCATGAAGCTCAGTATTTTCTGCCATAACTGCACTTTAAATAGATAAGTGTGACATACTTTTCTTCTTACTTCTAAAAAATATTCACTAATACTTGAGTATTTCAGGGACCACCCCACTCGGATGGATGCACATACAACCCTGACTATTCTATGATTCTACGATTTATAGCTCACCTGATTTCAACCAACCAATCCTCTATAGATACCTATTTTCTATGATTCTTTGGTAAACTATTTTTATTTTAATCAATGCTTCTGGCAATGACTGTTGCACAGCATAGAATGAGATGACAAAAGCCTTTGTTTTCCTAACTGCTGTGTGTATGTAAAAGGCTGGGAGATACCGTGAGATTTCTGTTTGTTCTTAATAAAATGCAGTTATCACAAATTCAACTGTATTATTCTCAGAATGAAGAAACTACTTTAAAACCCAAAATATGTAAACAAAATGGAAACAAAAATGGATGACGATTGTGTTTGGTATCCAGGCACATACCTGATGGAAACCTGCTCTAGTCTTACTCTTGTTTCTCTCTGCTGATGATCTCTTAGCTTTAGCAGAAAACTAAAGCACACTCCCTTGTGCACAAAATGGTCACTTCTTCACAAGATATCTAAAATCTTCAGGCTTCCTCCTGTACACAGCTATTTGATCATTTCTGCAGTGCACATTCTCAGGACTTCATGGGATTTTTACAGTATAGTCGATGTTCCCAGCACACTTGAGCCCAAGACTCTGACCACTCTGCTGAGACAATGTTTTCTAACATGTTCTCCCCATGGCTCAATGAATCTTCCTGCTGCCATACTGCTGATCAAGGGCCTTGACCATTTCTCCTCCCCATGAAACAGCACAACCCGATCAAACCATGTTCTGCAGCTCAAGTGTACCACATGGTTCTTAGTCAAGGGACCTCTACTGCAGTCATTTCCACAGTCACGCACCCAAGGCCTGCTGCCTCTGTTAATGGCTGATTTCTGCCCTTGCCCCAACACCCATCCTTTGCAGTTCTGCCTGGACTTGCAACCAAACACAGTTTGCATCAGGGTGCAGCTTCACTAACTCCAGAGAGACCTATCAACTTACATTACAGCAGCACTGGAATTAAAAATTTGGCCAACCCCAACATTTGAAGTATTTATGAGAAAGAAAACCATAAAAAATGAAGTAACCTAGACAACATTACCTCAAAGCCAGTGGCACACCCCCCAAGCTGCTGCCTTTCACTTGGACGACCAGGATGCTTCCCCTGCCATGAGCTAACCTGTGTCTTGCAAGCTTCATGGTACCATGAAAAAAAAAAAATTAAAAATCACCTTCTCTCTCCCATATTGCATGACAGAATGTGGCACGTTTTAATTACAGAGGATGTAGACAAGCATAGTACAGCACTGTCTGCAAATTGAGCATGACACCAGACTCCTGCCAACACGCTGGTTTAGCTCTTGTTTTGAAATTTCAATTCTCAGCTCACATTAGTAAGGAGTCATGGAAAAAAAAAAAAAAAAAGAGAGGAAAATACCAGCTAAAGATTACAGTAACTTTCAGCTCATCAACAAAGAATTTCCCAACCTTACCCCTGAGAGCACAGACCAATGAAACTTCATTAATACAGTCATTACCATTATTTTCACCAATGCATTTTCCTCATATTCTCAGAGCAATTGATGCGGTGCTTTTAATGCCACTTCTGTTTCATGTCCTGTGTCACCATGCCACTGCCTCATTCAGCAATGTGTCTACTTATGTACTTAGAGAAGTTCATCTTATTGCCTTTGACATCCATCAACAGATTCAAATCCAGGTGGGCTTTGGCTTTCCTAACTGCATCATGGGCAGTGTTGCTGTATTCCTCCAAGGTTATCTGTCCCTGCTTTCACCAGGGAAGAAGCTTCCAAGCTTCTGTATGCCGCCTTTTTGTGTCCTGAGTTTCACCAGGACACACAACTTATTCATCCTTGCAGGCTTACTGGGATTTCTGCTTGACTTCCTGCTCATGAGGACGGACTGTCCTTGAGCTTAGAGGTGGTGATCCTTGACTATGATCAGCTTTGTTTGACCCCTCTTACCTCCAGAGCCCCTTCCCATGGGACTCTTTCAAGTAAATCCCTAAAGAGAGCAAAGTCTGCCCTCCTATGTTTATTTCATTAAACATAAAATAGTGCAACAGCATATTTTAATTTTCTGTTATTTTTTTTTCTGAAATTCTGCTGTGTATAAGGAAGTTACTATCCCAGCCCAAACATCAACTTTGGTATTTAGAGTGGTACATGCTTTTTTCAAACAAAGGGTTAAACAGAAACAAACAAAAAAGCCTATTTTTGGTAGTATGGCGAGGGTTAAATTATTATTTAAGCATAATTTTCAGATTCACAAAAAACTAAACATCTGACACATATTCTTGCCTCCCTTTGCCTTATTTCCCCATAACTCTTTCCTGGAGAGGCAAGAAAAAAAACACTTCTGTCTGAGTCTAAAAAGTTCTGATTACCTGTCTTCAGAGCAGAGGATTTCAAGGTTCGCTTCTGTGCTGAGCTGCCATTTTCTGTAACAACTCTGTGAGTCTGCAGGCCTTTAGCCTTAACATCACTGTACTTATGCACCACTCATGTAAATATAAAAAGCCACACGGCAGTTTTGTGGTCACTTTTCCATGTGTTTCTCTGAGTCCTGCTCCAGGTTCACTGCCTTGATGTTTTAAATTATTTTTACTATTTTATTCCATTTGATGGTGGAGCTGGCTTCCTCTGCTCCAGGATTTCTTGACAACTTTTGTACACTTCTATCAAGCAGTCCAGACGTGGCTTGGAGCTCTAGAATTTAAGTGAAATAACAAAGAATCAGGCTCTGAACTGGCTGTAAAAGAGCTGGAAAGCTTTAACTTCCCACTAGTGAGACTCTCAGGCAGAGAAAGGAATGTGGAGATGGCTGACTTAACGCTATCAGAATATGTATATGTATGCATGTGTAAGGAATGCAACAGCAAGGTATCTGCAGCTGATTAGCTTTCTCATGTTAAGTCAATGTCAAAGAATAGATTTCCCTTTTACATGTTCGTTGAGAAATAATCTGTCAAACTCCAAGAGGTATTTGGTGGAACTGCTGATACAGCAATGCAAAGCCATTCCATAAGCCACACCTGCTCTGTGACTGGAAACATCTGTCCCTGAAACTGTCGGGTCAAAACAGGCAGCACCATTCTGCAGTTAGCCTGAATCTGTCACCAAACCAGAAATCCTCCCCTTCCACAGCTCACTGCTCACAGTAACAGCATGGAAGAACATCCACACCGCCCAGCCCATCAACCCATGTATTGGGCCATGCTCCCTCTAGACCTATCAAACAGCAGATTTCCACACACCAATCCACCCTCCTAGAAGACCTTCACCCTGAAAAACCTACCTTCAGGACAGGGAATTTAGACACCTGGCCCTTGGCCTCTGCTAGTATTGTCAAAAGGACACTGGAAGGTTAACTAGCAACATTAATTCATTTCATACAAACAGCCAATGGTGGTCAAAGTATAATGATTTTCTATCACTTCTAACCTGGACCACACTAAAACCAGCAAGAAGGTGAAAGTTTCCCAGTCCCACAATCCCTATAATCCCCTGACTTTTGAGCTCCCAAAACAGCACTACTGTGTAAAGTCCATCAAACACCTCTCCTTGCAAGTGTTGCTTAAGAGAACGATAGGTCAGTTCAGCACAGAAGTGCTCCTGGGCTCAGTGACATGGTAAATTGTATTTACTTAGACGAACTCAGTCAAGGAGATGCAATAAAGTTACTAATTACTGCTCCTTCAAAACTAAGTAACATACTAACTTGCACATTGAAGTGAGAATTACCAGTGCAAGCTCACACAGTTCTCTCTGTACCTCTGCTGCTGGTGGAGTCAACGCTACCAATGCCAAGATATTTCCATGAAAATAAAACTGTTCAGCACTGAGCTATAAAGAAAGGAGAAACTACACAAATGCCAGGTAGCCTCTCTGAAGCTGGAAAAGAGCATGTATAACTAAAACCAGCTTCCTGATTGCAGCTCTCTGGAGTTCATTACTTGCTGGTTTCCAGCAAGTCCATTTTTTTCCCTTGACTAAATGTGAAATAATTTGTATTACTGTTAATAAACGTCTTTACAATTGTGGGACTGAGTTAGCAGCAAGTATAAATGGAATAGTCTATTTATATCTGTAAGTGTTTAGCTGGAGACTGATTGTATCTAGTCATAAACTGGATGTGGACTACAAAATGACAGCCACAAGCAGCAGGTGAAGTAAGAATGATAGAGAGGGCCATAAACTTCAGCAGTCCAAGATGTGAGGTACCTCTGTGCTACTTAG